GACAATAAATTTCGCGAGGGATTACAGCTCGTCTCTTCTTGAATGTGAACGCTCCCCCGTTTTCGATCTCTGGATATCTCGGTGTTCGAGCTCTTGACGACCCAAAGGCTTCCGAACGTTGTTACTCTGTTCCCGTTCGCGAGCGAATCGTTTCTGCCGGGTTCGTCGATCCGCAAATTCGATCGAAGGCGGCGCTCAGACTGTTTGTGAGTAACCTTTAGGCTAGATCGCATCGGGGAAATTTCCTTTTCTTCCCTTGAAGAGCACCGTCCTCAAGTGAAATTCTCATTTTGAGAAGTCGGCAGTTGCGCGGAAGCGAGAGTAGCGGAAAGTCTTTGACCATCGGAAACCATTGAAGCTTGTTATTGTCTTAAGTATTTTGATTGGATCGTTCACTGTCTCGAGAAATCTGCCCACCCCACCACCATGATGATGATGACGACGACGGCGGCAGCGCCGGTCACTGCCATCGGAACCGCCTCGGACTCAGGATATTGGCGTCCAAATCCTCCGAAGAAATCCGGCTCCTCAAGCGAGGCGTAAACTCTTGTGGACTCGGGAGCCGCTCTCTCACTCAGGACGGCTCACTGTATAATGTCGCTGCGTGGTGGGCGCGCGCGCGCGCGATCGCCGCAGAGGGATCTTGACACACGGTGAATCTACGTGCTGTCCAGAATGTTGTCCTCGACGATAAAACCTCGTACAGAAGCGAGTGGATTGTTCTCCGTGTGTTCTCTGCGAAGCCTCGTCAATGCTTGTGGATACATCGTTACCCCAGCTCCCACTCCCCATGTTTGCCAATCGTTAGTCGGCGAAATATCTCAATGTCTACTCGGCAATGGAGGGAAACAAGCAGGAGGGGGGACAGGGAGCGAGCGAGCAAGCAAAGCGACCAGAGGGGGGCATTGGCGGGGAGCATAGCACGCCCGCCATCAACTAGCTCCAGCCCCGAGTCTGAACGTTTTCGACTCAATCGACCTCAACGAGAACGACAACCTGCAAATGCATTTCACAAATCACTGAGTGAGAGAATATCCGGCTGGGGAGGGGCGCAAACTCCCCGAGCCTTGAGCTGGAGTCCATGTTGTTGGTCATCACGGGGTGAGAGAGGGAGGGGGCGCGTTCTCTTTGCGCGAACTCTGGTATTGGAGCGACAATTCAGTAGAGGTCGCAGAGCTCAGATACCGACTGGAAACCGTCGGAGCGTTACACCACGTCTCGCTGAATCTGCGAAATTCCCTCCTTTGCGAGTGGGAGCACTTATCCGTTTCATATTCTCTCACTGTGATCGTCGTTCGAACTTCTCCATCGCGATATTACTGAATATCGATATCGTCGCACATGCAGCATCGGATCGTCGATTCGCCCACCTCGGATGCGAATCCTTCCATTCGCTATCCTTCTCTGGAATGCAACGACGGCCTCGAACCCCAGGGGCAATCGGGCCTATTATTATGAACGAGAGCCTCTCTCCATTCGAGAGCATTAAACTGGTCCACGATTTGAAGAATGATTCTCTTGGCTCGTGATTTTGTGAAATCGGTAGATTGCAATATTTCTGTCGGCGGACTTCTGACAGGGACCCCGCCGCCTGCCAAGCTCGAAGAAGTCTTTTTGAAACACTTCTTATTTGTAACGGAAGTATGGACTGGAGAGATCCTACGCCAATACCTCAAGTAATGACGACAAGATGGCCCTGGTCGCTGTATCGGAAACCAACTCAGCAGACGGCGACGCAATTACAAATCTGCTGATACGACGTATACCTAGCTACCTGACGGCGACTAGCGAGTCGGAAACTTAATATAGCCATCGCTCACTTGGGTCTGGAGCAGCGACGGCACTGCTGGCAGAGAGGCGGCCGCATTCGACGACGAGTGCTCGGGTCAAATGCAGTCAACAGCAAAAACCGTGCCTCCACGTCGTCGAGGGATTCAAATTTAGACTTGCGTCCGAAGAAAACACGACGCTCCAAATTCCTGTTCGAGCGCTGTTCGGCTGTCATCGGAGCGGTGTTATTGTCAGAAGCCGCGATCGTCCCGATCGTCCTTTGTTCCTCTCCAAACGGCTCGCTGTTCATTGCTCGTGCTTGCATCCCCAGATCAGACGATGTGGATTCCGAATCTGTTAGCCGTGAGAGCGTCTCACAGAGCCTCTCGTGTTCGTGTTTATGGAGTTGTTTTTGGCGCAAGGCTCAGAAAATTAATTCAACTTTGCCCACGTATCCAAGTCTGTTCAGGGATATGAGAGCCTTCGAGAACGCCCCCGGCGGAACATGCTTGCTCACAAGACCCGCAAGGAGGGAGCGGCCCCCGTGTTTCTTCACTCCGGAAAGCTGTGACCAACCAATTGGGTTCAACTTATTTATGTGCGTCTTGGGACTTCGTCGGTCGGGTCCGTCGTCGCTCGGTTTGTACGACCAACCACCGAATCGACCGAGCGACCAACAAACGGTCTGACGAGCTCTACCCACGACCCGAAGCAAGCCAGGTCACCACGGGAAAAGTCGTTCGTGAAACCACTTTAGCTGGAGACTGCGATTCGGCTAGATTGAACTCGAAGACGCAGCGTGTATATCTTTGCGTCCCCCGGAGTGATTCGACATGGAATGCTCGAAACTTTTTTTGTTCATTTGCCGCTGATCTCCGACTCGTTCGCACCCTTGAGGTGAAAATATCTTCGACGTTTTAGCCGGCCACCGTTTTTCGTGGCAGACCTGAGCGATATTTCCGCTTAGCGTGTCGGTCCAGGAGGTATTCCTCCGATAGCGGCCGGAAGCTTTCGAATAATTCGTCGTAGCAGCCAGCGCGGAAGCTGTGAGGGAGTTGAATCTACGCCAGGAACTCAAGAGCCACGACGCCACGCGTAGAGCAGCGGACAAGTTCCTGTTATCATGAGGGAGAGCTTTGCTTCGAAAATCACCGCTCCTGCAGCCGGAGGAGTCCTGCTGCCGACACTTAGCTGAAGTCATCACCTAGCTTGGCTTCGCTCCGTTCGCTTTACTATCTTGCTTGAGACAGCGTTATCACGGCGAACTAATCCTCGATAAGTTGTTGCATAAACCCGTTTTATATGGGTCGATGAACGACACCCACACCGTCGCCGTCGCTTCCGACCTCCCAGAGGAAGGGTTGGCTCCTGGCCCCTCTTGGCCTCGCCTCGTCCGGCTCGAATCATCGGAGCTCCTCAGGAAACGGAGCAGGAGCGCGAAATGAAGGGAAGAAGGGAAACAGCGACGCGACGGGAGAAAAACAAATTCCCACCGAGTCGGCGACTTGACTACCAAGAGATAGAGTTTCACCCCTTCGCCCTCGTAGAGAGAACGAATGTTACAGGGGGCAAAGACCGAAATGAAACGGCTACTCATCTTGAAACGAAAGGGAGAGAGAGCTCGGAATTACTTCTCGGCCCAAGAGACCGATCCTTCGTTCAGAAGACCCAAGGGAACGCTTGATCGGAGCACGCTCGGGCATTCCTCCGGGCATTTCGTCGAGCGTTCAACCCTGGTGCCTAGTTCCCGACGAAATCCCCGCCCGCGATCGAGAATAATTGACTTGTGTCAACAATCAATTAGAGATCCAACTATTGCAGCCGGGGCTGACCGCAGGGAATTCGGGTAGATAAACACTATTCACGGGTGGTACAGCTGAGCGAGTTGGTCTTTTTATGAGATTGGCCCAAAATTTGACGTCTCGTCCGTTCGACCCGATTCCCGATTGGGAAACAGATCGATGAGTCTCTCTGTCGACTTTCGGCGGTACTTCAGCACTTTCCCTCGACGGTGAACGTTGACCTCATCAGGTCCAGGGCGCGGTGCTCTCTGAAGCCTGAACAAGAGTCGTCATGAGCCAAGAGAGCTAACTCCTCCCGGCTCTTGCAGACATTGTTCAAGAGAGTCACAGAGAGCCGAGGGGGGAGATCTCAAGGAAGACGGGGAGGGGGGAGACAGGGAGGCGGAAGAGAGCGAGACACCGGGAAGATTGAAAAGGGCAAATATCAACAGAGGATGTCGTCTGCGGCGACGGCAGCTCGAAACAGGCGCGATGATCATGTTGTTGCGAGCGAACGGGAGCTCTCGAGGGATTCGACCTCTGTGTCAACTCACGGGACTGCAGCAAGCGAAACAGGGGTGGAGAAAGCGGTCTCCCCGAACGTGGGTCTTCCGCTGGTTTGTGATTCCACGATTTGTGAGGGAAAGATTCCGACCTTCCAGATTCCGCGGAATCGAGGAAAACCCAATCACGATGAATTGAGAATCTCGCCTTGGCAGCTCGTGTTCCAAATGACAAATACCACGATTCTGCCCCCCATCAATATTAGACGCTAATCATCACATCTTTTCGAGAAATTCCCATTCCGACGGAGTTGCGAATTCGAAGGATACGACGGCGTGATACCTCGCCTTTGGCATCTTTATTCCTTCGCAGCAGCCACTCCTCCGCGCTTCGACTTCTGATGTCGACGCATACGCGAACTGATGTCTCGTAGTGGATGTTGACGAAGGAAAAACTATTTCGCTGCTTCCTCGACTGCTTCGCGAATTCGTTATGCCATTGTCGGTTCGTGCGAGCACGGAGAACCAGGACGAGCGCTTCCATTTCACAAAATGTTTCATATTCAGGAGGAGCAGCGTTCGGAGTTCCATCACGAGCGCCCGAAGGCGAAATGCCCCTGCCAACCCTCTTCCCCGCGGACAAAGAGGGAATCGAAACCCTCGAGACCAACGAGCCAGCCAGCCACCGTCAGTCTCACAGGCAAGCCAACGATGTTCGATTGAAAACCTCACCGACTTTTTGCGTCGGTCTCGATGAAATGCGCGCAGATCCGTGATCGTGTTGTGGGCTCGTCTCGAATATTATTTCGTTCGGCTACGCATCGTGAGACACCTTGGGCTGGCAGAGGATTCCGGTTTTCTACGAATCCCCATTCTGGATGAACCTGAATTCCGTACGACAGACAAGCGACTAATCGATCGAAGAGAATGAGAACTTGGTACTCACCAGAAACGTATCGTCGCAGAGGACTTCAGCAGGAGCATGCGAGTTGAAAGAATAAAACTTCAAGGAGTCCAGGACGCCCTGCGAAACGATTAGAATCAAGTAGGTTTTCACGAGGCTCCAGCCTGAGATCATCGCTCCGTTGTTGACGCGGCCGCTGTAAGTGTTCGAATTAGCAAGCTGGATAGATCTCTGAATCGCCGTTCGCGCCAATTCTAAGTGTTCCATTCATGACATGGTATTCGCATCCCACATGCGATCCGCGATCGATCATCGCAAGCCCCGAGCAAAGGACGGCTCTGAGAGAACCGATGACAGAGCTTTCGAAAACTCGCGATCTTCGGAGCAATGACTTCCCTCGGACGGGGATTCGAATCACGTCGTGCTTTTAGTTGTTGTGGTTGCGAGTTGGGACTGCTAGGAATTATTCCGAATGCTGTCTCGAAAAGCAGAGCGCGGGCTCTTATCCCTCTCTGGAGAGAACGCTTCCTGTCGAGAGCCACTTAATTTCCTGGCTCGGTGCTTGATTTGTCGTCCCGCCGAAATCTCCACTCGATGAGTTTGTGTTGTCGTGATTGATTCCGACTTCCGCCCCGTCTATAATAATATAATATTAAGGGTCCGGTATTAAGGGTCTGATATAATTATATAATTATTCAATGATATATATGACTATATCAGACATATCAGGGCCCTGAGACTTTTATAGACCCAAGAAACAAGAAATCAAATTCGAGCCAGGAGGGAAGCTCTCGCAGATCGACGGGCATGGGCGAACTCGAAATTCAAACGGAGGGGTCAGTCGAATTCAAACGGAGGGAGTCAGCCAAACTGATGAGTTGTCCGACGCAAGAGCAGAGGTTGCATTCATTGAAAATGTACCTCGCAGAGGGAGGTCCTCCTCGCAGATTGCGGCTTACTGCCGCGAATCGAGCTAAATCTTCGGGACGAAGATAAAACGATTCGGCCGACGTCAACAGGTCATTTACAGAGTCGACGGTGCCCATCGATTCCTCCACTACACATCTCGAACCCCCTCCCCGACTATGCCGGGCATAGTATGCCCTCGGTCGCACGACGATAGCTCAATTCCTCCGATAGCGGATCCGCTTGCTTAAGCCTCTGAAAGATTAGATTGGGCTGCGATCGGGGACTCAAAGCATCGCCTCACTTCCGTGGGCTTGAATTTCTTCCTGTCTTGCGGCCGACAATCCCGAGAATAGATTCCCCCCAGACAGAGCGGATGCTGCATATGTTCTCATGGCCGCGCCGGGAACGGTGGGCCGACCGAGTCTCCCAGCGAGCGGAAGAGATCGAGGACAGACGTCAAGAGAACGTCGCCGCGCCACCGACGTCCGAGCCTCTACAGAACACAGCCGGGACCTCAGACCACAAGTTGATGACTCCGGTCCGGGCCCCCGTTGTCTTATGGGTGCTTTGCATAGACGAAAGCTGACAGAAGGAGACACAAAGTGAATTGCCTTCATCCCGTTGGTGAAATCAACCACTGTGCTCCCGGTTGTTCCGCTGACACAGTTGAGCTGCCGCTCACGTTGTCGTTGTTGTCACTTTCGTCGTCGTATTCAGCGCAGACCGAAGTCGTTCCGGTGACGAATGCAAATTGGAATGAAAATTTTCCTCTCTATTCGAGCTCCCGCGCGGCTGGTGTCCCCGAGCAGGGACTTCACCGCGGTCCTCGAAACCGCGCTCATTCTGAATTGTACTCGGATCGGTAACTTCGGCGGGGGCGGGAAGGGCTTTTTTCTCTCGGCACCTCGACTTCAGGTATTTATTCATAGACTGTGAGCACTTGCATTCAATCTTTGTCCGGCTCCGGAATCAGAAAAACGGCGCGGCGGCCAGATGTTTCTCCTTACTCCGGGTGAAGTCGATGACTTATCGATAAGAGTTGACCGATGAACCGGCGGGCCCATTTCTTATGTTTCAAGGCTCCAATCCCGCGGATGAACTCACTCATTTGAGGTTCTCGATTGAAGGAGGAAACGGAGAGCTCGCTCTCTGACATGGACAACGGTGACAACCGCATCGAGACGATTGGTGCGCCTTCTTCCAAAAGGGACCGACCAGCTACGGAATGGGCATCCTCAACACGAGCGCTCCATCCGAGATAGAGCGAGGCGGAGACGACGGTCTAGCGTACTAGCGTCAAGCCTTCGGGGACGACAAGAGTTGCGGAATTGTTCCTGTCGTGAACGAACTTCGGAGGACGCTTGTTGCTCCCCGACACTCTCTACCTACTTGCCTGAGTCGCTCCCGTGTCAGTTAAGGTGACCTCAAACGCCAAGTCTGGCGTCTTATTGCACTAATGGACGCAGAGTGAACGTTGTCTTTGTGGCTACGCTTCGACTTCGGTACAAGGAGTCGAGCCGGACTCGAGTCCGATGTCCTTTTAATAAGTAGACGAGATCCGGGGTTCATCCTCCCTCGTGCCCTTTCTCCGATAGGTCTCGCTGCGGACTCTCCGAGGTAATCTGCATCCCGCGACCTCTTGTTCGCAAAAACATGTCGATGCCAGACCCGCATTCTGCATTCAACGACTTTGAGACCGGACTCCCCCCAGACGTCGGGAGGCTCCTGGGCCTTCGGAATTCTGAGAATTCCTCCATGCTTCCAGAAATACGGAGCGAGGCCCCTGTGTTCCATTCTCGTCCGAGTATCGCACGATCATCTGACGCTTCCTCGGACGAAAACGGTCGGAATCACTTCAACGGAGCGCTCGAGGAAGTTCCTTCCCAGGTCGAGAAACCTCCCGGAACGGAAGCTTGAACACGTCCCTTCGGAAATCTTCCTGCTCGGTGGGGGCATCAGCAAAAGCCCGACCAGGATTTTCCCCAGTGGGTGGGGGCTGGGTTCTGTACAGGGCTTGGAATCCATAATTGTGATCCGCTCCTACACTTCACCATAAGGAATCGATGTCTTGTCAATAGAACTTTCCTTTTTTTTCCAGAATATCCGGAATGTTCCGTTTCTATCCCTCGCAATCTCCCCAACCTTCATCGTCGGAACGCTGGAGCGCGCTTAGCGTCTCGCTAAGGGCGGCACTACTCCTCATGGCACGCTATGTACACGGACTGATTCCACATCAAGACTAGAATACGCATGGGAGGGCCAGATTGAGAGCCTTACGAAAGCTTTTATTTGAGATCGCCCTGGCTGTTACTGTCCGGGACGTTACGAAGTAAGAGCTGCTGCTGCCGCCGCGTTACCCAACGAGAGCGGAAACGAAAGCTGTCTCACTAGCGCGCACGCCGCCATCAGCTTGATGACAAGCTCGTTGTCCCAATGATTTCATTTTGAGACGCTAAATTTAGATTAGAACTCGAGCGGGGATTTTAATTAAGGAGTGTGGCTTTTACGGCGCCTCGCCATCGGCGGAGGTAAGCGGCAGGAGAGCTCGCCGCAGGATCTCTTCCTAAAGTAGGACTTTGTCGACTTCCTGTTCGCGTGCTTCGGCGTGTCTCCTTCGCTCGTCCTTATCGACACAGGTTCGTCTCTCGGATCAGCCACCCACCGAGTAGGTTCTGGAGCCGCAAACTTTGGGCAACGTTCGAACGACGATCTAAAAATTCAGCTTCCGATTTTCTGAACGGGTTTTTTTCCGTTTTTCCGCACCGCAGTCTTTACGCAGTCAGGAGTTCTCGCGCTAGTCGGATGTCGGGAAAGCGTTCGCGCCTGTTTGACTGATAGGTCTTGCCGGTTTCCCAGCGGAGCAATAAATAGTTTCGGGCCTCCTCTTTGACTTAGACTGTTCGTCAGCAAACAGGTAGGGCTCGAGAGCCACTCGTTGTCGCTGTCTTTGTCGCTGTTGTTGTTGCTGTCGATGAGATGCTTCCAACCCTTGAAGGAGTTTCTGCTACGAGTGGACTCAGTCGTGTGTCCAGCGAGTGAACGGAAATTGCTCAGATCAACTCTGAGCCCCTGCGAGCAAACCAAGGCGAGTACTCAGGCAAGATTGAGCAACATGGGGTGACTCCGAGTAAGTTACGCGATGAGTGAATTCCGCAGCGAGTGCATTCCTATCCGTTGTCGCGAGGACACCCCAAACTCATCACGATTTTGTCGACTCCTTCGACACGGGTTTTCCTTGGCGGATTCTAGTGTCTCAAACTTTGCCAGAGTAAACCCCCAGATGACGGGAAAGAGAATAAAACTTCCGGCGTATTGAGAGATCCTGCCTGCTCTCCGACCAGGCGCATCGGGACAAGCGCAATACAGTAGTCAATTGGCCATGAGAAGAGCAAAGAAACGAAAGAATTCAAGGCATCGAGACAATGTCGGAAGCGCCGGCCGCGAGATTCGTGATAAGCTAAAATAAGACCGAGTCCGACGTTTGTTTTCCCCTGTTGCTGGTGGCCCTAAGGGAGAGCATGATCTATCCGGGCCAGATCAAATCGGCTGAGCTAGTTCCACGCTCTCCACAGAGCCAAGTAGCTCGCCCTGAACTTGACCCCTCGGTCAAGATCGATGGCCGTAGTGCCGATGCCGCTTCCCGAATCGTCGGTCGACGGTGATTCCGAATAATGACTCCTGGCTCTCCTCCTCGCGGGGCAGAGCATGGAATCATTTAAAATTATTTGCTGATCCGCATTGTAGTTGGCCCGAGTGACTCCGAAGAGGATAGATTCGAACTAAACTCTAAGCTCTACAGCTCCCGCGAGGGAATCCGCGAATGATCTCGCTAATCGTCTGCACGAGACAATTGGAAAATGAAAAATGGCGTCCCGCCTCGAAACTCACGATGGATTCGTTACGGGGGAGGTAAGGGGGATTCCGAATTCAGCGGAATGTCTGTACATGAAGAATCATCTGTTTCATCCACAATGAATTTCAAAGCTCCTCGTTCGCGGGGCAGAAAGTCGTTAATTGCATCGAGCAGTCAGGCATGAGCTCGAACAGCTCGGCGGATAGCAGGAGGAAAGTCTGAGAGACAGAGTCGGTCAAATTCGGGAACAAGATAAATTGTTCATTAGCGGAGGTACACGCCACGAAATTACTTAGTCGGTTTGGAGGCATTGCTCCTCCAAAAATCAATCTAAGATCCATAATAGCCTCCTGGACTATCGCGGAACAAACCAGGATCGGAGCAGAACGTCATAGGGAAAAACCGAGTTTTGCTCGAACTCAGAATTCCTCTCCATGTCTCTCGCGCGATTGGAGCTCTAATTCATCGACGGGGAAGCAGCTTAAGCCTCTCGATGCCAATCCCATCTTAAGATGGCATGTCGAGCCATGAACGCCCTACGCTGAACATCGTTCTCCCTATACATCATCCAGAAAGAAAACCACGAAGAAAAAGTTCGCTGACCCTAGGCCCGGAGCGCTAACTCCGTGGCGCCCAAGTATATATTCCCGCAATTGGCCGAGAAAGTGGCGTGCGAGATGAAATTAGAGCGGACCGCATTGGATGCTCTCTGTGTTTCTTTTCACCGATGCGCTGGGTCCCTGGAAGTTTTTCTAATCGACGAGGTAGCATTCCGCGTGTTACATCGTTCCTCGGGGGAAACTCCCACCGACCAGGCACCCTCCTCAGTATGGAGTTCGCGACTCGTTTCTCCTGTCCAACCGCGTGAGTTCCCGCCGCCGCCGCTCGTCAGTCGAGTCCGGCGACAGGAGGAGAACGGACCGGCAGCGGACCGGAAATCAAGTCGGGCTGTCGGCGTTCAATAACCGACAGGATCATAAATATTATCCTCTCATGAATCCTCATGACCATCAGGCTGACCTTCATAGCAGCGTCGATTAGCTGATAGTCCTCATTCCTTCCTTCTGCGCCGTTCCGCCATATCCTTCCCTCCCGTTTTTACCGCTCCTCTGCCGCACTGAAGCCCCGTACCGCTGTGCTGGCCGCACTTGTACCTGTCATCTGCGTTCGAACGGAGCCTAATTTCCCCATATCCTGATTAAGCTCAAGCAGCAGAACGCACCGAGGGAGACTGTCGCATGGAACCTTTCAAGTGGGCGTTTCACATTGCCCTCGTTGAATAGAAATCAGAGGTCTCTCGGCTCAAATAAACCTTCAACCCAAAGTCCGATTACGTCTCCTCACGAATCAAGGCTCCGTCGCGGGGTCAATCTCGATGGACGACAATCCAATGTCCCCCCCGTCGGAATGTATGGGCTCCTGTTTTCGAATCAAACATCTGGATCGGTCACCATCATCGAGAGACCCCGTCATCGAAAACTTCAAAAGTCAATGAAAGTTATTCGGTGCCGCACGATGGCAGAAATGCGCGCACGTCCAGAGCTGGAACTTCGTGACGGTTTGTGCGCTCGGTGTCCATTGATCATAACCGAAAGTGAAGATTGATAGACTGAGGAATGAACCTCGCCCGTCGACGCGACATCGGTAGGACCAACATTCGTGGCCACCGACAGCAGCGTTAGTTTTGCCACCCGCAACAGTAGCGAAGGGGGCGCGCCAATTCGAATCACGATTTCGGAGCACGTCCGCAAAAAAAGCACCGACCACAAAAACACACAACAACTTGCGATAATCGATGTCTTCACAAGCCCATTGACGGACAGACGGACCCATGGCATGGCTTCTCTGGATTCTCTTTCGACACGTCCGAATGAGGCGTGATCTGACGAGCAAGTGCCGTTTCGACCTCTCGTTCTTGTCTCTAACTCTTCACGACTGGTTTCTGACTCTTGCCCGGGATGAACGAGGAGCTCAAGTTTCCCCATGTCTGATGACTCCTCTTCCTCGAAGCCTCGAAGCCCCGAACTCCCTCGGGGGCAGGTCCAGTCAATTCGTGAATACGGGGACAGATGGGGAAGAAATGGCCGTCGATATCTCTAGCATCTCATGCCCGTGCAGCCGTAGACGTAACGTCGGCTCACGCGGATGGCGAAGCCGACCGCGAATCAGCGCGCGCACAATTTAAAAGAATCGGAAATCAAGCTCCACGTACTGTGACAACTCCGGCTGGACGTACCTTCGTATCAGAAGAGAAATAAGACGACCATTATCGGCGTGATTTTCGTTGGAGCAGAAAAGCTATAGTCACTTTGGTCTCACTAACGTTCACTAGCTCAAGTCGATTGACGCCACCTACCGACGGTGGAAATGCTCTGAGTGGAAAGAAAAGTCATAGGACATACCACCACTCACAGCAGCAGCAGCAGAGATACCACTTCCCCAGTGAGAGCGCTGTTCCCTCCCATTCCCTTTCCTTTTTGCTTCTGGGAAAGACCGGTACTTTTCTTCTTCCTCGACCAACAGCGCGCGACTCTCGAGCTCGGAGCGATTTATTTAACTTTAGACAAACAACACGGAAACGTCCGACCAACCCAAAGACTCAACCAGGGGACCAGCAGACTCGGGGGAGGATGAGCCATTTGAGACCTCGAGGAAAAATCGTATCCCCGGAAATATGCACACTACTTGTTCCCTATCAGGAATCCGGAAAACGCTCACTATTTCGTCGATTCTCGACGTTTGCCGGGTATTTACGGGGGTTTCATTCATCGTAATTTTAAACCTTGCATACAACCTATGTTTCAGAGATCCAAGCCAGCGAGTCGATCGAAGCACTTACCTGCGTTTTGCCGCGTCAACAGAACGGGTTACATCTCAAGTAGGACGGGGGATATGCCCCGGAACTACACCGGAATCCTCCCTCAGATCGATTCCTTTTCACGGGAGGGATTTTCGCGGTTAGCGTATCTTTTCAGAGATATTTTAATAGAGTACTCACGACGAAATGGCCGTTCAGGACAGGCCCGCCCTGTCCTATGAAGACCGTTGAAACCATGTCGAAGCTCAAAGGATCGTTGCTGCGTGTTACACGGACAGTGGAAACGACCTTACAATTGATATACAGTGTCATGTCGTCGCCGTGTAGTTTCAAACTCAACCTGAATGGGAAGACGAAATTAACCCAATGGAGGCATGTTCTTATCGGACGAGGAGCTCCCCCCTTGAATCAAACCCAAGTTCCTCGAAGGGGCCCGTGAGCCTTACCAAATCCAGGATCCGGTGAAATCATCGGTGACGAAATCGGCGATCTGTTTGTTCCGCCGCGTATCGGAATAGTAGACGGAGATATTCTGTTTGAAATCATCCACCGGGTGCATGTATACGCCCAGTTGCACAACCGTGTCGGACGAATCCAGTACGGCGAACAGATAGCCTCCGAGAGGTGACTCAGATTTGAGTCTGGATACGAATATGAAGTGCCGGGGCATTTGTTCCGGGAGAACCAATCTGCAATATCGAACCTAGTGAGGTCGGGGCTTCGCTTCGGCTACTTCCGTAGGCGTCCTGGTCACCTGATGTGAAAGCGGCGTCATGGCCGTAGACGAGAGCCCTCACAGAAACGAAATCTCCTAGGTATGAAAATTATTGTTTTTCTCGGAGCTGCCGAGTTCGGGGATAGGGGGGCTCTCCCCTCACTTACCGGTGTGGTATTCGGATCTGTGAATTGGGAGCCAGCGAGATGGCATTCCGGTTGTTCTTCTTTCCTATTCCTGAATCACTGTCGGCTTTCCTCACGCCGGGCGTCGAGTCCGTGGGGTGAACCTCGTAGAGAAGATCTATTTCGTGGCAGTCGAACCCTGAAATAGTTCCCGTCAGGCGATGTGATTACATCTAAGAAACTCAGCGAACGGAACGGTCGTGTAGTGAGTCGCAGTGCAACTCACGCCCGAGCTAGCGTTTCACGTCGTGGCTCGATTCAGTGAGAAGTACTCTAGCTCCAAGAGCTTCTCCCCACGCTCCTTCGGCAATTATTGCTCAGACACGGATGGTGCGGGTCCGGGGAAACGAACCGGTAGCTTTGAGCCCCGGCCTCGATAATCATGTGCGGAGAGAAGTTCACTTGAAGGTAAGAGCCGATTCCGCAAAACGCGCAGACATCGTCGAACACCGCCAATCTTGCGGGGCTTTGGGGCTGGAATCGGTCCCGGTAGGACTCTGATTATTTAAACGTTAAATGAGACGGAATTCACCTGTTCGCTCGGATGACAGAGCAATCGCGGTCGTTCCGCGCTTACATGAGGTGGGGGGGGGGGGCACGGGTCCTAATTCCTTCATGGGTGGAGGGGGCATTCGTGGGAAGAAGTTTGCAACCGTCTAGTATCAACCTGTCTCAAGAGTCCGGGGAAAGGAGAGGGCCGACTCGATATGACTGAATAATGGCTCAGTCGACAACACCTGCCAGAAAGCCTCTCCAAGAGCCAGAGGATGTCCCGTCGAGGACATTTTCCAGCAGTCTATCCATGGCCCTAAGTTCCATGACGTCTTGGTTCGATCGGGGGAGGGATTCTGAATAGTCTAGCAGAGGCAGACACTACCGATCTTGAGAGAGAAGGACTCTCCGTCAGCTGAGCTGCCAGATCTTTGACAGTTCTGAATCTCGCTCAATTGCCATCGCGCTCGAAAGACGCCGTAGCGGATCATCGATTTGTTCTCGTGTCACTCCGAAGAGTGGCTGCGCTCAATCGAGACGTATCTCAGCGGAACCGAAGTATCGTCGAACGAAGCCCAGAGTGAAGTGAACCTGACCCAGAAGCGGATCGAGGTCGACACACAACTTCGAGTTCGATCCCCCGAGATCGGGCTCATCTAATCAACGGCGTCGGCCACGATGGAGTCATTACAATGTTCTCATTTGTATTTTTTCGGCTATCACACGCGCGGCTCATACTTAGTCTGCACAGTAAACGTCATCTCTCATCTCCCTCGACAGTCCACACCTACTCCATATATGACATCATACATATGTACGTCTCCCGAAAATAGTCGTTCAAGCTGATGTCCGGGGAGCTCCGAGCGAGCCGCTGACAGGACACTGGTTTCCATTACTCCCCCGGTACGAGCGTGCTCGGCTCTTGACTACAAAACCAATCAAGTGGATCATCCGCGGCCAATTTCTCGCCGTATCGCTCTTTCCCTCATCTCGTTCGAATACGAGCGAAGATTTTCTCTGACTCAGGAATCTCCGAGCTCGTGGGATTCGTCACCCAGGAAAACGGGAAAGCGCAAGCACCGTTCCGGCAGCCGGAGCAACCCCCGTATCTATCGGACTAATGAGCTCGATGGCTTTAAAAATAGCTCCAGATAATCGTCTATCAAGTTGATGGTATTGTACTTCAAAGACAGGACCATGAACACGGCCGCCGGGCTCGTAGGTCGTGAACGAGGGCGCTTATGACACCGACACGCCGCCGTCCTGACTCTGCGCTGAGCTTAGGTTCTGTCTGTCCCCACCTGCCCCATCTGCGGCAGCAGTTGGAGGCGCGTCTGGACTCCATGTATCCGCGCCAGAGACTGTATGAAGCGTTTACTCGGGATCCGAACGCCGAGGCTGATCGTTCCCCCCCGCGCCTACTTCGAAAACATAATAAAGCCGTGGAAGATGTATTTATGATAAGCCTCGCCGAAATCTCCCACACGTGCGAGAGCTCTATAGTGGTAAGGCGAGTCCGCACTCTGGGTCGTGGCCGATGGGGGGGCGGCGAGGCGTAGAGCCGCATGTGGACATCCATTTAAATGCGACTGGAGAAAAATGAAGACCCAAAAAGAACGATGTTTCATAACAGCGATCTCCACGGCGTTCGACGAGCCGTTCGAGAATTTGCGCTTTGCGATCGGCCGTGGCCCGTGCGATTCGCTGGAGACTCCGCAGCCAATTCCAGATATTATTACTGACTCTGACATGATTCCGATGGCGAATCCGAAGCTTTTAGCAGAGTTTCCCGCCTTCGGTATGTTCTAGATTTCTAGATGGACCGTTCCTCGGGCATCGACACAGTTGATGTCGCACCGGGAATCGATTCGAGACTCGTTTGAGGAGTTCTAAATTCGAACTAATCTAGCCGAGTCTGACATCGGCAATGAATTTGCAGTACGCGGTGGCGACTGCCCGATCTGGGATAATTGAACCTTGATTTACATCGACCATGATTCGATTGATCAGACCTGAACGATCCTCCGCATGATTCGGTCAATGAATCATAACCGGAATCGGATCTGTCTGAAGTCTCGTCGATTCAATCCTCGATCGCTTGCAGCTCACGTGGACCAGGGCTGGTTCGTGTCGTCCGAGCAATTTTGAAGTCGCATCGACTCGTTTAGGAAATGACTATTCACGACTCATCGCATGGAATTACGGCCTCGGGTATAATTATGATTCATGAGCGGAGCGTGAGTTGTGTGTGAGTCTCGTTTTATTGAAAGTCCTGGGCCAGCGCTCAGCCTCCGGCGGCTCCCGTATTCTTCCCGAGGAATTTCGTTGACTCATTACTTGAAGGAGGACACGAGCTTCTCACTGAGAGACCAAGAGGCATGATTATCTCAGGTCGGTAAATGGCTCAGAATCGTCTCGTGATCGTGCCCTCCCGTCGAGCGATTTCCCTCACGTACTCCCGCATCGTTAGCGGCGGCGTCACCCCGATGAATTCCAAGACATATATATATATATGTACAATAGTATAATTGTGTCTCGACCGGGCATACGACGATCTTATTGTTTGTCCCAATAATATGTCCACCAGAGAAATTTCCAGTCCGCGATGTAGAAATTTCCGGTCCGGATGTCTCATCCCGGTGCAAAGCCAGGCGGGGGAGGGGGATCGAGCCTAGCTCGTGGTTATGGCTCGCTGCCAGAATCAATTCCCCGCTGCCCTTCGCCATCAATGATGAGCTCCAAGCTGCGCAAGTGATCCTTCCCCAGATAGATCTCAGACCACGTTCCGGGCATCTCTTCATTTTGCTCGTAAGTCGCGGTACGTGAACAAAGAACCTCGAAATCTCTTCTTATACCCACAACGGTCCGCGGATGTGGTCGATTAACTTAATAATTTCGGGGGACCAGGCAACGCTATGTGACGAATTTCGAATACTCTGAGAGGATCTCACAGAGGAACGGAGACATCACCGACCTCCTGGGTTGGAGGTGGAAATTTCGAGCTCATGCGTCTTCCCCTCGGCTCCCATGGATTCTCGGCATCGCGGGCCGCCAAGAAACCGATGCTCATGATCACATTCAGGATATGGGGACGTCATCCTTCTCCCCGACGAAGCTGAATTCACTTCCTCTTTTCCCACCCTGACTGGCGGCCACCGATGACTCGAGCGGACCACTCCTGGTGCTTGAGGATTCCGACTCCGAAACGGGAGCAGGTCAGGAACCTCCGCTGTACAGGAGAGTTCAGAGCCTCGAGTAATCATCAATTGAATCGTCCGAGAATTAATAATCAACGACCGATCTGGATTGTGGAATCAAACTAGGAGTTGACGAAATCCTCAGCGGGTATGGCTCAGAGAGATGCTCCAATGGAAATCGCTAAGCTCAAGTCTTTCGAGAGAATTCTCTTTTTTCACCGCCGCTAGACCCGCAGGCGCAGCTCCTCGACCTCCTCCGACAGGAGCATGAGGAGTGAATTATGGTGACCGCTTCTCGGGCATAAGATTGCTCGTTGTCGTTCGCTCAAGTGAAACCTTAGCAGTAAGCGTCGTCATGCAAACCAACTCTCAATGCTAGTTTTCCGAGCAAGTCCGGGATAAAGAATCGACTTGCTCGGACATCGATTCCTCTCACGCGAGACCCGAGCCCAGATTTCGTGGGAGTATCGGGGCCCCGCATTAGCCTGATCAGCGTAGAATCAATACGGATCGAGTTCGAGAGAGTGTGATCGATGAGGTTTAGATTTTCTCGATGCAATGATCTACGCGGTGAGACTCGCAAGAAGACGAATCATCTATCGACTAGGCTCGCGGCATAAGAACCGTAGCACTTGCACATGGAATGGGTCCCAACTCTCGATCCCAAAAAGATCCAGTCCAAATGACTAGTTTTTCCCGCGTGTGCTGGCTAACTGATGTGAACGGAGACTGAGGTGGTCGTTGAGTGGCGGAGCTTTAGGTTCTAAGGTTGATGAAGGAACCTCAGCGCCGTCGAACCAGGAGGCTCGATTTTCTTCGAGCTCAAATTAATCAATCAGTCAACAAGCTCCTGAATGTCTCGAGGTCTCCGTTTGATGCATGATAACATGGACAGGGAGCCTCATCCTCCGGAGACCGAGTGCCTCGAATCGCGTCTTGCTTGCCGACCCGTTCCTCCGAATGTTCTCCGGCAATACCTACGATGACTGGGTGACGGCCCGATAGGCCCTCGCTAAAAGTGCCGGTGATCATGCAGAAATCGTCAATCGTCACCTATTGAATGAGGAGTAGTGCGAACGGAAAGTCAAGAATGAAAGTCACGCTGTGCGCAGCGCCGAGGACCGAACGAAAGTTCGACGAGGAAATGAGCCAGTAAACCCTAGCCCGATTGCCTGCTTCGTTCAGCCCGAAGCTCATGAAAATTATGACCAACCGCAAAATGAGCCACAGCCCGTGAACAAGCTTTGTTCAGTCATTCAGACTATCCAGCGTGATCAGTCCGCACCCAAGGGATTCGGGAGTGACAGGCGAGCTAGATGGGTGACTTGGTCGCTCGAGCAACTATTTCATAACTCGTGAGGTTTTAAGAGCATTATGGACGGTTCGCGAACAGACCGCGCTCGACTACTGCACCGGAAACCTATCTGGCTGACAACGCTTGTTCTGCAAGCCTCATCAGGTCTGCGGAAGCTCGACCAAAGCGGAGAGATGAAGCGGATGAAAGTCCAGAATACAGCACGCATCAGCAAAGCTAGAAAGTTCGCATGTACGTCGACGACAATGGGAGTCGCACCGGACCCGAATGATACGGCTCCGAGCGGAGTCGATTCGGGGGACGTGTGGCTTTGAAGTGCTACTCTTCTCTACGGGAGAGGGTTGGCGTGAATACCGCGCGGCTGACACCGAGAACTGCAACGAACACCGGGTGTTTCATTTCCGAGCTGACCAGGGCTCGATCAGGTATGAATCCTGCCTGTCTCAAAATGAAACCGAGGTGAGTCGAGCTATCACGGAGGAGCTCTGTGACATGCTACCGCTATCCCGCCCTCATTATGCCTTCCATGACGTTCATGGGACTCCGCCAACGCATGAGAATCATCCGCACATACGGAGGCTCGAGTCTTGCTGAGCATACCTTTTCCTGCGTTCGACGCCTTCCGAGGTCGAACACTACGGAATGGCTCCATCTACCATCTCTTGAGCGTTGAAACTCTTCGGAACTCGTAACAAAGTGACCGCGCTCCCTGCATGCGCGTCTAATCTCTCCCGGTATCCGCTGAACTCGCGGTGCGTGGTACCCAAGCGGCACAGTGATGAAGGCCCGAGAATGAGGAACTCTCGATATCACCGAAACACAAAACACCAGAAACTAACAAACCGCTGATAACAACAAAGTCCAAAATTATCCTTTCGCATTCCTCGAATCCCTCAAGATAGCGATACTCTTCGAGCCCACTTCTGTCTAAATCTCTGGGAAAATGGCAGCTTGCCGTAGGGCTCTGAAAGATCTCAAAGACATCCGAGCGGGGCCACTGCCGAGATATCCCATCATCAAGGTGGACGACGCCAATGTTCTAGAATGGGAGGTCCTCTTGCAACCGACGAGTCCGCCCTTCAATCAAGGTGCTTTCTGGGTGAGCCTGAATTTCCCGCCCCAATTTCCATTCGTGGCGCCAAGAATACGGTTTAAGACGAAAATCTACCATCCCAGTGTTGATGATGAAGGGAAAGTCTGTCTCATGATAATCCTTCAAGAGAACTGGAAGCCAGCCACCAAAGTGTCCACGATTCTTGAAGAATTGGCGGACTCGATCGATAAAGTCTCTCCGGAACACGCTTTGAGGTCGGAACTCGTCCAGGAGTACCTCAAAGAAAGAACGAAGTTCGATAAGAACGCTCTCGACCTCATTCAAAAATTCGCTGAGAAAAGGGTCTAGCGAATCCATTTAAAATTCGAATATGAGCAGCAATACAAAATGATCTCTCGAGAAGAGGGTTCGTTCCATTATTTCCGTATCAACCTGCCATATCTGTGGCCCTCTCCCGAGGTCGATCACATCAAAGATCAACAGCGTCATGTTTACCGTACCGGCAAAGGAGACGATGCTGCGCCACCTTTTTTCATGTCATAGGGAGTCGGAATCGTCGGCGTCGGGGGAGCTGCTTCGCTGCGAATATCGATCGCGGCTCTTGAGACTCCGTGAGTATTCGAACTGATACCCCGATTCCGACAACGTTCAACTCAATAATCTCCGAAATTGACCCAAGACTCGAACCCTTCATATTCTCGATCCTCTCCATTCGGGCAAACGAGAGCGTCGAGTGATGTGTAAGGATTTCATTGAACCTTCCGTCACGATGGTAATGTTTCAATGGATTGCGATGTGAGGCTTCAGCTACAGCATTCTTCGCTGTAGATAGCCATTCCCGGATTTCTAAAAATGTTTCCGACCCTTCGGAAGACAACCGTTGATTGAAGAGAGCTCTCCCTAGTTCCGGCCATCCCGGAGTCACCGGTCCGGTACCGGATGCTCCGATATCGGAGACTCCCCCATCACTAGTACTCTGACATTCGGCGCGGTCTCAGAGATAATGCGACCGATGAGGATCATGGAGGATAATATGAGCTCCATTCCGTGATTTTTTCCAAGCTAATGGAACGCGTCGAATGCTCCGAGGGGAACAATCCTTTCTCATTTCGGTGGACTTTCCGCGTGGACTTTTAGGGGCACGGTGTCTTATACGGAACTTTCGAGATGGTCGTTTCTCCAAATTCACCTCCATAGTCACCGCTCGGGAGCATCCGATTTCCCTCGGGATTGATGAATCAATCAATCGGGGTGACTCGGCTCGATTCACATATCAACCTCAGAGCGGTTTCTGCAATCCGATGCGGGAGGTCCGATTCTCGCGAGGCTATGTCGCAATGATGCTGAGAGAGGAGTCCTGACCATGGAGGGAATCGTCGCTATTGATCGAGTGCTCCGCATCATTCACAGCTATTGCGTTTCTGAAACCGCAAAGGACATCAGCCCATGAACAAATCGTCTATTCGGCTGTCGGAATCCTGGCACCGAAAGTTGTGACGATGCGCTCCATGTATAACCTCCGGTGTCGCTGCGCAGCGCGGCCAGTGAAGCAGGTAGCAGCACGGCTGTTTCCCTCTTCCTGATTCCTGATCGACGCGGCTCTGTTTACAAACTGGCTGAGACGGCGCGCATGTGTTCCATATCTTGCCTCGCGCCTCCTGCGATTTCATGAACGATTTTCATTCCGGTGCAGTTGACTCAACCGTGAGTTGATGATTCGGAACTTCGTCTCCGTTGTTCAGCCTCTGCTCAGAAGGCAATGCCAATTCGATGGTCGCGATCCGTGAATCCATGATTTTCCTTGCATGCCTCGGACTTCTGTTGCCATGACCCCTGCCTGGGACCGATCGTCATGAGTTACATGCCTTGTTCTCGGTCTCTTTGCATGTGAGAGGGAGCCTCTTGGCAATTCCTTGACGGTATCCGGATCATTTCATACTGCGCATGTCAGATGTCAGCTCATAAGTGACAGATCGATCCTCTGATTTCGAGTGAACAAAATAAAATACTGTGAGACCACTGACAAACTGATAATTTCCAAATTTTCTTTTCCACAGGGAAGGTGCTCGAATACGAGGGATGGAGGGCGTAAACATCCACTCGATGTGCTTGGAGCCCAAAATCGCTGCCAGCAGAGGTGACTATCGCGATCCCTCCGACATAACGACATCCTCCTTGTGGTCAGACGTCGGCTCACAAAGGGCTTGTACGACGTTTAAGGATTGCCCTGACCACAATAACAGGACCTAACACGCTAGTTTCTCCGCGCCGCCTCGCGCCGTGAATCCGAAGAAACCTACTCGGGTGTAAACTAGAACCTAACCTCGGAGTCAGATGATTCCTGGCATCGATTTCGGCGGAGGCGGAGGAATGAACCGAATCCGCAATGCGCAGCGCTGATCGCCGTGAGATTGCTCGATTTTCGGGATACACGTGTTCATCTCATCATTCCGCGAGTTGCACCGAACGACTCTCCTGTTCAGATTCGTGGCATTAGTTATTCATTCAGAATGCATCGATCGCATGCTGAATCGAATCGAACTCCGCGTCGGAGACACCGCGATCCCTGACCCAAAGACGGGAATCATCGAAGATCCAAGGGGAGATCGTACTGGAAGATTGTATAATAATTCTTGTCCTGTCAAACCTGGTGCGCGGCTCCGTTCGAATTCCGAACGGAATTCCCGACGGAATGTGGTCGTTTGCTTTGGATGAGAATGAACGAATATCAGCCGTTTGGATCAACAGACGCTATTTTTGTCTGACTGAGATCGATGGCAGCAGTCCGCCGCAAGCGCTCTGGGCGCCTACTGATGCGAAACTATTCCGGAAAACTCGGAAACCCTCCTCCCTTCCACGACGGGGAGAACTCGTCTCCAAAACTCGGGATCAATCAGAACTTGAATCCATCGTAATGCACGATCGTCAAGTGTTCCGATTCGCAGTTACGTTCGAGGTCCATGAGCTAATGAATTGATTCGCGGAGAAAGAAATATTTGTCCTTCGAAAATTAGATCGACAGACGTTCTTTGATCAAGTCTGTGACCAGACGCTCGGAGCCGCTTAGGAATCCTTCCAATCGCGAAACTGTCAAGGTTCCTGGCTGATAAGAGCCATCGAGCGCGCACCGGGCTCCGGCTCCGATCCTGCGTCCCGAGCTGATTTTTGCGGGGATATATCGTCGCGCCGTGAATCGATCGAGTCATTCATCTATCCGATAACCCCGCTAATTTTCCTCGTGTCGGACCTCATGGAGAGATCATTTATCGGGCGAAAAATTTCTCGAGAGCCAGCCTTCGTGAGCTGGACCGCGGGGCAGCAACGAGGCCGCCGGACTGGCGAGGACAGACGCGAAATACTGTACATCCCTAATGGAAGCACTAAAAATACTCGTTCCATCACGAACAAGATGAAGAAGGGTTGTGTCGGCCGTGCTGTTCTGCCCAAACGGTGTCTGAATCGCTGTGGAAAACGCGAGCTGCGGTCGATTCGCTGCGTCCAGCCAATGCCGAAAGCATTTGGTTCTCCGTATTCTCGCCATCGTACCTAGACGAAACATGCTGCACCTGCGCGAGCTTGATGTGAAGTTTGAGCTCAAGTTCCTCTTATTTACGCGAATGGGGAAGCGGAACATTCTGTGTGAATGAAGTACGAGCGAGTAGATAACAGCCCCCGATGCGATCTCGGATCGGATTCGTCGAGAAATCGGAAGGCTTTAAAGTTATGCCCCGCTCCCGAGAGCTCCGAGACTCATGCGAGAAACGTCAGCGAGATCAGAGAACTCTCGGCGGGGACCGAGGTGTATATCTAGACCTCCTCGGTACGAGTTGGAAGTCGCTGTTTCGATTTCTATCCACTCGGAGGCTTCGGCACGCCCTCCAACGTCGATGGTTTTTAGCCGCAACCTCGAATCGGCTACGGCTCGCAAATCCGACTCCGAAACATCTGAGAAAACCATTATGGGACGGAGGAGCTGCGTCGCATTGAAGCATCAATAGTTGAATAAGATCTTCTAATGACATTGTTGTCCGGAAGCTGAGGTCGGCAGAACTCCGAAAAGGACTCCCATGTGAACGAATCGATTCTCGGTGTATCGTCATCATCACCATAATTGTAATAATTTAATCATTTTGGCTTTGCGTTTATTCGACCTTGGCTAAGGACCGCATTGATCAAATTCATCGTGGCCTGATCGGGGCGCCCGGGGAGCGGAATGATTCTCCGGTCTATTCTGATGCCGCATTCAAATTCAAACTCGTTTTGCCCGAGTTCGGAATTCTCATGAATAGAACCTCTACCACCATCATTTTTGAGCGTCATAAGCGAGCTGACCCGATATCTTCTTGAATTAACCGTGTGCGGAGGGAAAAGGGTTCAGGAGCCATATTGTTGGAGAAAGCAGCTGATTCCGTTTTCTGCTTCAAGATTGTTGATGAGTATCCTTCTAAGTCTGAGTCTCTATTTGCCCCGGGTTTTGTTGGGAGAAGTCTCAGGAATGATTTCGTCTCCAACGGTTTGACAAAGGTCTTTCGAGCAACCCATGGATGGTCAGGACGGGATATTTCATCGCCAAATAATGTTACCGAGTACACCGCAATCGCCAGATCCGCAATCGGACATCTGTCCGGTCCCCTGAAAGATTCTATCACGCCAAGGGCGCCTCAACATGGAGCTGATGCAAGGTCCCTCCGACCGGTCAGACCGATCGGCCGGCCAATCAGAGGCCCAATGAAGATCAATATTGAGTATTCCACCTTCCAGATAAGTATCTGAATATGCCTCCGGCCGATCGACGAACTCACTACAAATGTGGCAAGAAATACGTAGTCCTCGAAGACTTGACGGATTGGCCCTCTTACGCGCGTCAGCACCGCTGTGGCAAGAAGGTAAGTCCTGGTTTTGGCATCCGGAAAAATTTCGACGAGTGGCGGGCAGTTCCCCGGCGTCGGTTGCGAATAGGGAAATGTCGTTCGACTCAGATTACGTGCGCGGTCCCTGGTGTATAGAGCCCTCGATTCGCTGTAATCGTAAATTGTACACAGTGGCTGAGGCAGAGAATTTCCGCAGGTCGAAACGAAATGGTCAGCGGACAGCCTCCTGAACCGGAAAATCTGCATATTCGAAGGCGACATCACAACTCTCGAGATCGACGGAATAGTTAACGCGGCTAATAATCGTTTATTGGGTGGCGGCGGTGTCGACGGAGCCATCCACAAGGCTGCGGGGCCGCAGCTTCTTGAGGAATGCGCTGCGTTGAACGGTTGCGCCACCGGAGACGCGAAAGCCACCGGTGGGGAAGCTGAATTTATACTCTGCCGCGGAATATCTGTCCGCTTTCGACCGTCTCCCTCAGATGACCCATTTACCTCCGTATGAGCAGTTCTCTCTTTCTGTTTCAGGAGGCTACAAGCTTCCAGCCAAATATATTATTCATACAGTTGGACCCATTGGCGAGAACGAATCGAAGCTGCACGGCTGCTACTTGACGTGTCTCGAAACGGCGAAAGCTTTGCGCATGAGACACATAGCCTTCCCGTGTATCTCGACGGGCGTTTACGGCTACCCGAACAAAAATGCCGCTCATGTAGCCTTGTCAACGACTCGCGAGTGGTTGGAGAAGGAAGAGAACGCTAAGCAGGTGAGCGGCGAGTCCTCACAGATAACACTCGAGTATCGTCTCAGCTCCCTCATGAGTATCGTCTCAGCTACAATGTCATACGGCACGGAGTCAGAGCCCTGACGAGCGAGTTCGGGGGACTATAGGTAATCGTAAAACCGTCTGTGGTGTGAGCGGGGAAGCCATGGCCCGATAGGCTCCAGAGCGAGTATTTTCGGAGCGCGCGACGACCTCCGAAGATTTTCTCCTGGGTAATCATTGTCCGATCGAGTCGCCGAGCTTCGACTCGGAGCTCGCTCCAGACGCTTATCGCTAAAAATCTTCCGGGTCTCGCCGAAGATTCGATACGCATACCATCATTAGCATAGTGCCGAGCTACTGCATCGGAGAGGATTCATTATGGAATTCAATGAGTCTATTTATCCCAAGTACCCCGGCTCCGCGTCGTCTGAATCCGGTTGAGCTTCACCTGAAGGGAGGAATATCGGAGATATACAACAAGCTATTTTACTCGACTTCTTCGGTACGGATCGCCCACGACACATCCCTGACTTCATTACGTCACCCTGCTCCCAGGTCGAGTCCATGAGCAACGAACCTCTACTATCGATCATTAATATCGGTTCTCGCACTCGTGTCACACCGCGTACGAGAAATGCCCGACGAACTCGGGCAGCCGGCATCTCTCTCGTTGAACGGGCGGATTGTCCTGGTCAGTGCGGTGCGTTCAGATTACGAGTTCCGATCAAGAGACGAGCCAACTCAGCAACGAGCTTGAGCTACGAAACAAAGTAGACCGGATCCCTTGATAGATTAGCGTCCGAGTCTCTGTCAAATTGAGACCGGAAAATCGAATCAACGAGGAGCATCGGCGACGCACTTAAAGAGCGTAACCTCGGTGAGCGCAGGGGGAAACGAAACGACGACAGGTCCGGGCTACGGGCGAAGTAGCACCGAGGAGTTCGCGGAGGGTGGGGTGCTCACATCGGTGGGAACCCGGCAACTCGTCGTCGGGGTGCGAACACTTGCTCTTGTCGTTGCCAACGCGCTCGGGGCTGTGGTTTTTCACGCGGTTCTTCATCATTGAGCCGTCGCTTTCCTTCCTCACGAAGTTCCCATCGATCTTACGGGATACTTTATCTGTCAAGAGTGAATTCGGGGCGCCGACAATACCGAACTCTTGGAGATCAGTTGTGAGTCCACGTGAGCCGATGCCATGTTACGCTTGAGATCCGAGAGATGACCAAGTTCTCTCGACACCGAGGAATCTGAATTATTTACGGGATCATTCGGAGTCGGGCGACTAACCGGTGAGTGGCGCCCCTGGACTTCGGTGTACGGTAGTTTGCGAAGCGTCGATCACGAGACGGCGATTCCAATTGATCGAACTCGGTGACAAAACGGGCGTTCCGAGTCCAAATCTTAGAAATGTTTCAAGGATCTGATCCCGCACCGGGACGGATGGGCAGTTTAAGGGAGCAAGCGAGCAATTCATCCGCTGCCGTTGACAGAGGGAGCATAGAGTCCGATTTCCGCGATTTCTCCTATGAGACCGATACGGAAGCACAGCGCATCCACTTGTATTGAGCACGACATCTCGATCAGATGAACGACGCGACCTACTTTATTAATTGCGGGGCTTTCGACCGTACGGACCGAGCTTATGGTCCTCTGTTCTCTTCTGCCACGGAGGACGGCGACGGAGTCCGCACGAAGATTTATGTGACTCCCTAGGACAAGTAACGAACAAGCATCCACTTCTCGGCGGAGCGGATCTCCCGGAGCGATGTCTAGTTCTCTGCGAAGAGAATCTCGAGGAATATGCGGTGAGGGAGGTTCGAGATTCAAGGCCCACCTCAGGCGGCGATGCTTTGTTCTCGACGGAGCCGCGGCCGATAGGGATGGTTTATCCCCGTGCCGACTCTTCGAGCACGACATCCGGGCTTGGTGGAACTGAAGTCGCCTATCAGTTCCGGGACCTGTTGACAAGTGCGACTGCTCTATCGAAAGAATGACGCGCTTCGTTCTCAATAGGAACCCGTTCCCACATTGTGCTCCGACACACACCTGCTGGAGGAGGCCCTGTCACACTATCCGCAGTAACTTATGCACCCGTCGACTCAGTCGAACTCTTACGAGACAGCTGTATTTATACCGCCTTACTACTGCTAGCTATTACTATCACTGCTGCTTCCGCTCGCTCGAACACTGTCATCGGTCCTGCTCGTGTCATCGCTGCAGAGGGCACGTCAACGCCCATATTGTATCGTATACGTTGTAGGAGTTCTCAAGCCGGGAGTTAGTGGGTACTTCCTTCACTCGATCGTTTGTGACGGTTCCATCGACTGTCCGCTATTGCAGCAATGTTATTCCAAATTAGAGCTCCGTCACCGTGAGCAATGACGTAATGCTTGTTTAGAGAAAGCCAATGTACCTGGACACGCAAGCTCGTGAATGCCGCTCCCATTTAAACTATTGATAGCTAGTGACCCATCACTCCGTAGTCGTCGATATCGAGTCTCGGTGAACGAGTACAGGGGGGCATTCTACGAATTCACATTCACAGATTCATTCTACGGAAACGACGCCGTCATTGTTTGACGGGTGCAATCGTATGCTTGAATGAAATTCGGTTGTATTTCCATGAGGCTTTGTCGCACTGTTACCACGAAGATGTTTTGTCTGCGTGTCCAAACAGTTATCTTCAACCCGAAGGAAACAAGTTCGGGAAATATGCACGCGAACCTCCGGGCGCCCAGTGTCTGTCCGAATCCCGTAAGATGAATGTTTTGCTCGAAGAGAACCGCCCAAACATGATCAATTAGTGATCGGCCGGCAGAATATCGGACCTGCGATTCGTTTATCGCGCGCTCGTCGTTTGAGTGAATGAATGCATATCCGGTCGATGATCTGACAATTAATTTCAAAACAATTTGGAAGCCTGAAGGGGATCTGTCCCGCCGGTAAATGTCGAGCTAATCGTTGCGAGCAACCACTCTGTGCTGACGACAGGACTTTCGGATGAAGAGTCTCCTGACTCGGGACCTAATGCAGCTTCTCGTTTTCAGGTGGACCGAATTATTTTTTGTCTGTTTCTTCCTGTGGACGTCAAGCATTACAAGGAACTTCTCAACACGTACTTTCCGCTAGAATGAGAGGATTCTCCGATTTCCGCGGCGAGGCTCCCCCAGGCCGCCTCGGAGATTGAACACTAGACGTAAAAGAATCGAAACCACCGAGATAATATTCATCTCCGCCGCCCCGCTCCCTTCCTCCAATACGTCCCTTAGATAGGATATCCAACATCACCGGGTGCTGCTTTCATCTGTCCGCGGCTCATCAGCCCCTGAGTTTTGAGTTCACATACCGTCTTCGAAAGTTGCTTCAAATTACCGTTACGCTTCCGGAAGCAGCCACTAGGCCTCCCGAGACGTGTTCAGAACAGGAGCTTGCAGCCTCTGAGCGTGAAGTTCCTCAAGTTCCTCGCTGTGGCTCACAGTCCTCCGGGTACGGAGGAAAAACCCAAGTCCTCCGCCCCATTTTGAAGGAGACTTTCCGTCCACCGCTCTTCCGCGAACCCAGGTTCTCAGGTAGCTCTCCGATTTTTTCCAACCTCTGTCCGTGAGCCACTCCTTAGCAAACAATTCAGACGCTGAAGTACCTCAGTTGACGAGCCTGACAGTTCTCCTCGAGGGCGAGGATTCCGTTCTTTCCCGAGAGTCGGGTGTGGTAGTGAGTTGATTCCTGTGAGGATGTCGCAGCACCACAATTCGCTTTGCGCCTCGATCCATCTTAAGCACGACCCGAGACGTCCCCCATCGAGTGTTGATAGACCTAATAAAGGCTTTTTCGTCCATGAAGTCGTTTGCGTCGCTCTTCAATCGGAAGAGAGATGAGAGGGGAGAGAGACCCTCCAAATGACGTCGCTTAGGACGCATGATGTGCGACAACCTAACCTTCGCCGGAAGAAGGGGCTTAGTTTGATGACGTTTCTTGGCTTCTAATTCGATTCACGTAGTGACAGTTTGCCTCCAAGCCATCGGGAGAAGCAACGCGTGCCTCGACAAAAATAGGAGAGCGCTCCATCGCCGATCTGACGCGTCGCAAAGGGCTTAAATCTCTTTCGGAGACTCGCTCACGAACGATCGCTCTCGCTCATTTCCGCACGCAACACGAAGGAGAGAGGAGAGGGGCTTAGCCAGCAACAAGTGGGCCCTGCCTTGACCTGAGCTCGTGCGCTCCGAGAGCGTTAAGTGCTCAGAGCGAAACGCTTCTCGTCACTTGAAGTTATCTCTCCGCAGTCCGCGGAGTTTTCCCACACAGTTGCTCCGACGGGGGTTCGTGAACGAATTTCGAAACAATCCCGTCGCGCGGAGGGATGGTTCTCGGATTCCTCTCGGGCTCGCGCTTCCCATTTCATGATCGAACGGTATCAGACCCTCAGACCCTCCTACGAGTCCATGGAAAAATCGTTATCCAGCTCTGGTCCCTGAGGTTTTTCAGGCATTCTTCATGCTCGTCCTCTGATGGACTGACTGGCTGTCTGACTAGATGGCTGAACCGAAGCTTGTTGCGGTTAAGCAGCACTTGAGACGCAAGACTATTATGTTCCTCATAGAGAAAGAAGAGAAACTATCCGAGCACAACGCTGTGTAGTCCATTAGACCACCTGCGGATAACAGAGCGAGCGAGACGGTCAGGCGGAAAAAAATCTCTCCGAGACTAACCCCCAATTGCACAAAGTGTAGCCAGACTCCCTGAGCGCTTAACAACGCCCCCGCGGTCGCGATGGCTAGCCACCCCGCAGACAGACATACAGCCCGCCAGCTGCTTTGCCCGCTGGAACAAGGAGAGGAGGCGCGGAAAAACTACTACGAGAGAGCGAGTAAAGCCTCAAAAAGTTCAGATTATAGACTCTTTCCGGCGTCCGCTCTCGCGGACTCTTAGTTGAGACTCGACCTAACTGCCGGACAGACCGCGGGACCGACCGACCCGATTACAGTGGGCCCAAACGAACCCAACTTTCGACCCGATGGCCCCCGCTAGGAGATCGATTGGTCTACGCTCGGGAACACGCTCGTCTCTCGAGTACATTTCATTACGCGGACCACGAGATGGAGGGGATTCTGCTGTCAATGGGATGCAGAAATGCTCGTGATCGGTTGTGAGAGAAAAAAAACGTCGACCGGATCGAAGGAAAACGATGCAAGTCTCTCTCGCGGGGCTGATCGTCATCAATAGGATGCGTACGGGAAAAATCTTCCGATCCGAACCGTATCGGCCATAAAAATAGCGGCACCTCACAGAGCCGCGGTCAATCCGACCTTGGGGTCCGACGTCTCAATCTGCGGCGAATTCACTCGACCCATTAGGCCAATGATGGCTCTAGTCAGCGGGCAGGACTAAGTCGATTCCTAATAGAATTAGGTGTCTCTCGGGATATTCCACCGAAGAAGTAACAAACTTCCTTATTTCAATGATTACTTCTGCGCTGTCGCTACCTTCCAAGTTCATTCCCCGCTAACCCGACGCTCATCCAACTTGTCGCTCTCCTCACTACGGTCACTGTGAGCGGAGAAGAACATTCCACTTGGCCATGATCAAACACCGTCACCGCACAAGGCCGATTCTGATCTTAGTAATCGGGGAAACTTCGAAAATTCCTCAGGTCCCCTGAGAAAACTTTGTATCGATTCCGCCGGTATCCTCGCAAAGTCCTTCCAGTAGGGACATCCAAGTAACATAGCGCACTTCTGACTCGAGGGTCGGGATCGGAGCTCCATGAGAGTCGAGACTCCGGTTCTCACTATTGGTTTCATTCACGCTTCGAACTGAGTTTCGCACAGAACAGCTTATTCTGAAACGCCCCGACGGGAAAATGGGGTTTAATTCATTCTCCAGGGGAGAGATCTCCGGGTATGAAGAATGTTCACGGCCTCGCGCATCCGGGTTTCCGGGGCAACAGGGTTTCCAGGCAGACGTCCGCTTCCATAGCTCCGCTCTGAGATCGACCTTCTAGCTTAAGCCCGCCGGCTCAGGCGGCCGACTGGCTTCGAAACCTCACTCTTGGTGGACATTCATCTTCGAAGGAGAAAAACGGACAAAACAATGTTGATCAGATCAATCTACAGCTGGACATCCCGCGAAATGGTCAAAGGAAGTCAACGTGGGCTGCGACCAATTATTTCCTCTGGATCATAGGAGACAACAAGGGAATTATCGGGTTGCTCCGACAGGTAACAAAAGGATACTCCACCAGGGCAGTCAGTTGTTATACAACGTTTCATTGGCAGGCCCACTGTGGGCTGTCACGTTCCTAAGAAACATAATTGGCTGCACATTCTCCGATCCGGTCGGGTCGCATTATCATAGGTCCAGAACAAGCTCCTGAGCATCATCTCTCTCCCCTGCAGCTCAGATATAACTGTGGATCCCTCACGCCGTTCGTAAAGAAACCTAGAACCGATCATCTTGGCGGTCCGCCGTCGTGGAATTTCCTTTCGGGGAGGTCGATGGAGTTCTTTCAGAAAATTCTGAGAAAGTTGTGCGGCGGAGAGTTCGGGATCCGGGGAAGTTCGCTGATTCGAGGATATGGAATTGGAACGGATCTCGAGTCTGGAAGTTGGATGCCCAGACAAAAACTACATGTCGCGGGTGGATTTTGAGCGGAAAGAAATGCAACACAAAACGAAGGTAGATTCTCTGTAGTAGCAGAACGTGAGGTTCCTCGCAACGAATTAGCAAGGAAGCACCTGGGCCTTCTCAAGTGAAGCGTGGACGACTCACTCAGTCCTTCTCTCCTCGATACGATAACTAACCCGCGTGCTTGTCGTGCCGACGCCATGAGGGAGAGTCTGCCGTCTCGATGCGTTTTTGAATGCTAAAAGCCAAAGATGCCCACGGCTAAGTGCAACATTGGAAGCAGTCAGAGGGGTATCTCGAGGACGCGACTAGCTCGAGCATTCCGAGTCCTTCAAACTCGAGCGAAATCGATACCGTCCACGATTGATCAGAGCTTGCTATCCTGATAATCGTCCCCAAACCTAATCAAACCGCATCGCGATTGAAGGTCGCATTGATTTTCGGCAGAGTCATAACTGCTACCGATGCTGGCCGCGAGTATTCGAGAGAGGAATTAACCTCCTACATGCATTCTTCATTTTCGCATTCAAAATAGCGGAGAGACCCGGACCATTAAATCTACGGTGGATTCTCTCGAGGAAGTATTTTGAGGAGTCTCTGAATTGCTTCTCCTCGGAGTTTCCACTCCTCCGATGTTTCTTTCCTTGGGATCGCGACTTTTTCCCCGCAGTCAGGGTCAGGGAGCGTTTCAAGGGGAAACTCTTGACCCTATCTTATCGAGCGAATTATCGCGGGGGTCACAATGGGTACGCGAGGCCTTAGAGTCTTCGATATTCCCTATGATCCTCATAACACGGGAAATATCACTACGGAGTGCTCCGCCCGGAGCGTACGTTCCAGAAAACAATACAGAGCAACGCGTTTTCCATCACCGGTCAACTGGTGGATTAGAACACTCCAGAAATTCCAGTATTACTCACCTACGATGCAAGATATGTCGACCATCGGGTACGGCACGCGCGGATCGTATCCGCACGGGTAGAGACGCGTCGCGCACCCCACCGCAGCCAACGCCAGAAGTCCCGCCGACCTCATGGTGCTGGTCGTCGTCGGAGACGGAGTCGCCTGTGCTAACCTTTCTGTAGAACCCACTCGTGGTTCAAGGACTGGTCTGCGTCTCGCTTCATCTCATGCGATAGAAATCGCAGTCCGTCCCAGCGGTCGCGGCTTATTCCAAGCGCGGTTAAAGTTCGTATCGATCACATAAAACTACTTTAAAAAGCTATTTCAGTCGCACGGCTGTTGGTGTGTAAGATGATCTCTGAGTCGGAGAGCACTCCGTCAAGTCTCACGAATGAAATTCCAAATCGACAACAGATTTCGATGACACAAGTTGCCGTTGCGTGAAGCGAGTGGATCTCTCGCGAAGTAATGACAAGCAGCACAAGTTCTCTCAGCCGGCGCGGCTCCCTCGGCCAGGGGGCGCTTGGGTCGTCGCTCGCTCTGCCCATGAGGGGGCCAACAACGTTGAAAGGTGCTCAATGTGTGCAATGCTGCGTGGCTCCTCAAGAGATCGACATTATGTAGGTCCCCCATCCACGGGGCGGGTAGAAGTTTTCGGGTGGCTGCATTCGGCTCGCCACCGTCATCATCATCATCAACAACAACAACGGAAAGCACCTTGCCACCCTGTTCCTGAGTCGAGGCGGCGACGACAACACCCACGCCACTTCGTCGATCCCCGACGATCGGGGATCGGGAGGGACGAAACAGGGTACTTTCTCTTAGTTGGGGATAAGGCCGAGCTCGCACCGTGGAGTTTGACTCTCACTTTAAAAATCACGAAACGACGGGACTGGGGGGGCGGTGGCTGGAGTATTCATCGGAAAAGTTCGGAAGCGCCGAGGGAGCAGTAGGAAGTGTCACTCCCGCCATCTCTCTCAAATCTTCCCCATGTGTGGAGCCCCATCGTTTTTCGCTCCGAAAAACCCCGACTGACTCTGTGAACGCCGAGATAATCGTTCTCTGATGGAGGGCTCCGAATTTCCGGTGAATCCTTCCAAATTCGAAGGCCTTGATTTTTAGAATATTCGTTTCCGATTCCCGCTTCGACGAGTGCGACGAATTCCAGATTGGGAATATTTTCGAACCAAGAGACGATTCGGAGCCCTCACGCGGCCCCTCTGGATGAGAGTGCCATTGTAGCAGCTACACCTGAGGACGAGCTGCAGTAGGTACGATTTTCGGAATGGTCGCTAAATCTGTCACGGCGATCGTGAGACACTCGGAGGTTTCTCGAAGTCGGACAGCCAGGCCGACAATAGCTTCGAGCAGAAGCGATCAGATATTCGAGATTCGGCGGGGCTCGCGCGGCGGAGGAGTTTGCTGGCATAAGTGCAAACATTCAGTCTAATAATACGCAAATCGACCCGCTAGGTAGACCCATCGAGTCGAATCGATATAACTTCTCGATCATCCATTAATTTCTCAATCCGCAAAAGACCTTGATCTTCACGCGCATCCGGTCCCGTTGAATTCGATTCTCATAGGGGGATGGATTACCGTACTGACTGAACCCGAACATGTCGGGTGTCTTCCCGTATGGACTGGGACATTGATATTTACCTATTGTGAAGTGGAAGCGATCTGTCAAGCAGGGAATTTTCGCTCCTCATTAAGACTGAATCAATCGGAAAAGTGATTGGAGTTCACGAGGGATTCAGCGGAAGTGCATCGAAAATCGTCAGATCCGATGTTATGCGGGAACCGTTCTCTGGGAAAATTCGCTTGGGAGAAAGCTACGAAAATCTTGACCTGTATGACCCCACAGTTGGCTGGATCGAGATCAGCCTGAGAGCGATCGAGGACCGAGTCGCGCCGCAACGACGAAGGAAAGACGCAGCGAAAGACGGAAACAGTGCAAGCCAGCGAAGTGGACAGGCAACCGACAATTTTCCGCTCACCGTGATTTACGATCGAGAGCAGAAAACACGACGGTCGTAGATAGCGAGCAAGCGATGGACTGTGATAAGACTACTCGCTTTTCTGAGAAGGAGCTAATTTGGTGAAAGACTCCTCCTCGACGAGTTATCGAGGTTCCCCTCCAGCCCGATGAACACCATCCGCTGCGGCCACAGAGTCGCCGGAACTCCCAACACCCCAAAAGGACGAAGGGTCTCATCGAATCCTGGTCATAGTGGCCTTGTCTTGCATATACTGGGAGGAGAGGTCCCATCCAGCGAAGACCACTTCGTCATTCTGAATCACGGGGAGACAACTCTGGACATCCATGAGTTCCGTGGCGTGATTCGGGGAGCTCCGAGCTAGCGGAGGAATCTCACGGAAAGGAGTGGACGACCCCCTATTGTTATTGCAATATTCTCTTTATAATCGCAGCTCCGCTAACCGATGGGATCCATGGCGTTCGCGGCCCCTAGTTCCTGAGTAAGTCGACGAACAGCCTCGTTCTTAGCCTCGTTCAAGTTACCAGTGAATCCGTCCTGCCCGCCCGGGTTCGAGCCGGCTTGCGGAATCCCAGCAGCTCTGTAGATATCTAGCTGCTCACGCAGAAAGCGATTTTCGGTGCTTAGTTTATGCACGAGGTCCTTGTACTGCTCTAAAACGAGCATTCGCTGTCGATAATGCTCTTTTTCCCGGGCTTGCGTTCGCACCATCTGCTCGAAGGCTACTCTTGCTCTTGCCGAAGCCTCGATCGCGTCCGTAATTTTGGCGAACCCGATCACTTTCAGACCGTGCTCTAATGCTTCAAGGTCGTTCATGATTGTATCCTGATCTCCGTCCAGAATTTCCGGAGACATTTGAACACCTTCGAGCATACGACGTAGCCATCTCTCCTCGGCTCCGACGCATTCGAGACCCGACGCGTTCCCCGTCTCTCCGGTGGACTCCCCGTAAGTGCTCGACCATTCGCTCGAAGCGGTTGTGGCTCTACTCCGACCAGCTTGAAGCGAATTTCGGGTTGTTGGGGAGCTTGTTCTTCCGTCTTACGGATCAGATTTTCAGCGAAATGTTTATTCCAGAGTTGAGAAATCAGGACATACCTTCAGAACCTGCGATCGGCGAGCCAGAGGGCATCGTGCGGAATTCGGGCTGCATCGAGCTTCGTTGCCTCTATCTTCCCGATGGAATTCCTTCGACGGAGTCGCTTGTGATTTATAAATGGTCGAGCCGAGGTAGGATTGGAGTCGAGAGTCGAGAAGGCCGGGACGCCATTTCTCTGGAGCGAAGACTGATATATTCAAATTTGCCTCTCTTCAGATACAGGGGAGCGCTGAAATCGGGGTCACAGTTCTGACTGACTGCTTCCAGACTGACTGACGCCCCTCATTCAGCCAGGATCCAGCGGAGAGGATTGGGAGCTGATAGAGTTCGACTCATCTTTTTCTCCGTGAGAATACGCCTCGAAATTCCGATTCAAATGTCGAGATATTGAAACCCCAACAGCTCTTATCAGCTTCTCGCCCCGAAGTTTCCAGGCTCGTATCAGCTCATTTATCGACACTCGTTCCACAATTTCGTCGATTCCAGTAAACACTCCGCATACCCTCCGCACAGCATTAGACCCGAGGCTCAGGAACAAGCGCTTCATGACCTGTTCCCCCTGGCCTCTTGACTCCTCCAATTCCTCAGTCAGCGTACAGGCGACTTCAGACTCACAGGAGAGGATTCTCGCCTCCGAAAGATCACATCAAATTGTGGACTAGAGGTGAGATTTCAAGTTCGGGACCACTCTAAGTGTTTGCACTCGGCTACCCAAAACACTGCTGCACGCAAATGACGTCAGATATGTCTCTCGGTTGCCGTACTTTGAAATACTGCCGTCTGTCTTCTCCCCGGGTCTTCCTCTTGCACTCGATATGAAAACCTCGGTTGTCTTCCCGCGACGATGCTTTCTGATGAATTCTGATTATCTCCAGGTACTACCCGAGGACCCGCTACCATTTTCTGCCTCATGACCTTGTTCTCCTTATTCCCTTGTTCGGTCTCGTTCAGTCGACTTTTCCTCGCCTCGCAACCTCAACGGCATCGATCAGTTATCCTTCATCGCGGGTCCTCTCTCAAACGCTGTTCTATTTCCAAAGAATCGAAGGCTCCATTCCTTTGAGCTCCGGCGACTGCTCCCATCGTTTCATCACAGACAACATTTTCGCTGAGAACACCCTCTGGCCCATTTTTTTCGAAGGAAGCTCCCTCATCCGCAATCTCGACCACTGAATCGAGCCTCCGTGGTCTCACTCCGACCGTGAAGCCTGTGATTGCGGGGAACGGAGGGGCCACCCGCATAAACCTCATGAGCATCGCTTGAGGATAACAAGTATTTTCGCATTTCGGCTTCCCCAATTCATCATCATTATACTTCATCTCAGAGCTCGCTTCATTGTGTGTTCGAGCGTCTAGAATCAGAATACACATCAACGAGCAACAGCGACCCCCGCTACCAGCAGGTTCTAGTGAATCGAAAAGCGGCGCATTCGGATCTCGATGCAGTCAGACGCGATTCCGATTCTCAGATATCGACCGCAAAGCTCGGCCCGTTAGAAGCATAAGTCAATGGGGGGAGAATTTTGAAGCGCGCGAAGCTCAATATCTTTTCACCTGAACCTGAGCTGTCTGCTACGACAGCCAAACAAACAAGCGTTCGAACAGCTGCGCGGTGAGGGCTGCAGGAAAATTCGATTGAGTGAACCAGAAGTTCCGAAGCTCGGAAAATCGCTGGAAATGAAATTGCCGACTGGACCGATGCTTCGTCGTGAAACCGAAAGAGTTCGATAAAGTGCTCCAGGCCCCACAGCGAGCGAGACTACCGATACATCGAGAACAGAGAGGGATCCTTGAGACCTACTCGAAGATGGAATTCATTTCTATCGGTCTCAGTTCTCTGAATCCCCTCACATGACCCGCCGAGCGGTTTTGATCAAGATCAGGATTTCCATCGAATCGATTTTCAAGTGCAATGGAAGACGATCCCTTCAAGAATCTTTTCGGCAACGTCTCCGATCCGCGCCTCCAAGAACTCAGAGAAGGTGCCGATGAGGATGACGAGGAAGCTGACAGCGAAGTGTCTCTCGAAGTGGCGGGAGAAGCCGAAGCCATCAGCAGGTGAATATTCCGGTGACAACAGTATTCGTTAGGCCTGATCCCGGGCCCCTGAGATCATCGGTGATTCAGGGTGAGTTACAATTAGCTTTCGTTTCAGAGTGATGCAGGAGCTGCCCGGAGCTCTAACTTCCGAACGCAGCAGGCGACAAACCCGGTCGAAGACCTTACACGAAGACTTCGTCGGTCTTCTGACCTCTTCTGAGAGTGAGGTGGGTTCGGGAGAAGGGAATCATTCCCGAAGTTTTCAGCATCGATAAGCGCTCCGACTAGCCTTTGTCATTGTCTATACAGGGCTTCGACGATGATCGAGACGAGGACTACGTCGCCGATCCTAGACAACTACGCAAAATGAAGCGGGAACAAGCGTCATCGGCGCAATCTGATGGAGACTCAATCGGCCCTTCGATGCCTCACGACGCCTACGAGATAACCAAGAGCTTCCTCGAAGGTAAGCTCTCACGGCCGCCTCGAGCCAGGCGCGTTCCTGAGCTTCGTATTTCCATCCCACTCATCCACACGCTCCTCATTCGGATTCCAGGCAACATCAGCTTCAGTGATTTTGCTGAAAAAATGGACGTAAAAGGCGAAGCCGACGGTGATGATTCCGAAGACGAAGTAGATTCCCGGGAAGATGTTGGAGAGTCTCCAAAGGAAGTTCACGAGCATGCCGTAGGTCTCATTCTCGTTCATCACTCCACCTTTTCCTCATGTACCGAACTCTCCAATGTGACTCATTTCAGCGAGCCGAGTCTTCCAAGGCACCGAAGATTCGTCGTTTCAAGAAGCTCCCTCGAGATCTTCAAGGCTCATTAGGTCAAGCATCGCTTCATCTCGCAGCCGGCCGTCTTGATGAAGCTATAGAAAAATGTATGGAGGTGATCCGTATCGCCCCTGACGCAGCTGACGCCTATAAAACCCTGGGAACTATCTTCATGCAGCAAGGTACAGTGCAACCTTGACGCAAGATAACGTTGTAGGCCATCGACAGATGTGCTTCATTCTCATGGGGAGCTGACGAATTCGGGAGAGGAAACTTTCCTGTTGCAGATGTATCATGCTGTGATAAACTTTCGTGCCTTCTCGGACGAAAAGGAAGCATCGATCGAAAGCGGAATCACTCGCGAAATCGAATGATTCCGGATCTGTTAAGGAATCCTTTCTACTTATCTTTGCAGGGGACGACCTGAAAGCATTGCAGGTCTCCATGATTGGAGTTTATCTACGACCGAATGATGCTCAGGAATGGCATCGCTTGGCATCATGGAGTCTCGATCTGGGCAACCGCGAACAAGCTCTCCTATGTTTCAAGCGAGCCGTGAAGGCCGAGCCGGAGAACGCAGAATTCTACCTGGAAATCGTGACATTGGCAAGCGAGTTGGGTAACCATAGGGACTGTTTCCGCTACGGCACCTCCGTCATCCCTCGATTCGCTGAGAATCAGGCCCAGATGTGTATTCAATTATCGAGAACAATCGCTCAAATACAGTACAAATACGGAAAGGTGCGTGGCTCGATGTGGTGTCCCGCTGTGCTTAAAAAAATCGTCGGTCATTTGAGATATTGGTTCATATCTGCATTCCTTCTATTCTCATGATTCGTCCAATGGAACATTGACAACATTCCTTAATTTCTGAAATTTTTATGATCCATTCTTGTGCTCAGCCAACGAAAGGCGCGGAAGTTCTCGAACTGGCTTTCCGACGTTTCCCCGACGCTATATCTTCGGAAGACGTTCACATGCTCCTCGAAATCCAGGTAAAACCCCGGATTGAAAACGGACCCCGACCGTCGCGCAGAGCGGGTCCGGTGCAGAAATTTCATACTGTATTTTTTCCAGATCGAAGCCGAGCTCTTTACGAAAGCCTTGAAGGTGCTCATATCGCATTGCGGTATAGAGGTTGAACCTAGGCTCGACCCGGACGCAGAACATTGGGATCTCAGAGATGCGAAATCACTGAAAATGGTCAACCTCCCGCTGGACATTCTTTCCAAATGTATTGTTTGCGTTGCTCACCTCGGTGGGGTCCATCTAGTTTTGGACTCAGTCGAACCCATCATAAAAGGAGGCCTCGATGTAAGGACCTTCGAACTGCCTCACACCTTCACTGTCCTCTGCCAAAAAGAGCTTATTCCCCTCGTTCGAGCTAAATATTTCGAGCCTCGGATTCATTCTGAACTCGTGATTGTTCGGGAGTTCATCGAAAACTTCGAATTTCAGGCAACAGGAGATCTCGTTTTCGATGTTGCCGAGGCTTTCCTCCAGAATGGTGCAACTTCCCGCTCTCGCGAGCTTTGCGAGCTCCTGCTAAAAACAGAAAAATTCAATATTGCGGGCGTGTGGTGGCTTTTAGCGCAGAACTTGCAGAACTTCCCCGACGAGGAAAGCCAATGCATTAAGGTATCTGCTTAGGTGTTGATGAGTACAGCGAGTTGTCCCCATTAAATTTGGGATACGATTCCGATAATTTGATTGATTGTGTGCTTTTGCTAACCAGCATCGAGAGGACGGTAATTATTGTGCCTCAATTTGATCGTATTCGTGCGGATGGATTTGCACGTCGATCATGATATCTAATATAGGTATGTCATGCTCAAGGCGTACAGGAAAGTGCTCGAGATGGCTCCCGACCATATAGATGCCAGATTGATGTTCTCGTCGTTCTTGGAGAAGTCCGGCTCGAAAGCGGACGCCATTGAAGTTTTGAAAGGAAATAACGATCTCAAGCTCTTGAAGAAACGTTTCGAGCTCGCTCAGGAGAAAAGTAGGCTCAATTCCCCCCGCAATCCGATTAGCCCAGTCACTTACCTCCGATTCTGCTTAGCTCGAGCTTACAAATCGACTTGCGATATTACAGGCGACATGGAAGAATTTTGCAATACACTGTTCCTGTTATTGAGCGCCGCCACGGTACATCTCCCCGAAGACTTGAAGATCCCGATGTTGTCTGAGTGGGCGCAAATGAAAGGGCGGATCGAGTTCATAAAGAACGAGCTGGCCAAGAGAGGATTGCCGAGTGAGTGATGGCGAGAGCCGAATACGCAACACTAGGCACAGCACACCTAAGTATCCCTGCATTGAAAGGGGAAATATTCAGGAGCTATTCTCGTCAGGGCAAAATGAGCTAAATAAAATGCAATGGATAAATAAATAGCCCGTACACTTCCCAGTCGACTTCCCCAACTACAGACCCAACCGGATCGAATTCCACGGTCACATCCGCGAAGTGCGTAAGCCGCTGCCAAAAATCGAGGCTTTCCATCTTCTTATCGAATCGGTCATAAATCATAATCTCTTTTCTCTCAGGCTCTGAGATATCTCTTGAAAGCAAATAGAATGGATCTGTATCTGGACATCTGCTGTCGAGCAGCTCTGATCTGGTGCCTGCACGATACTCTGCACGATAGCCACACGTTCCACCTCTACACGCTCGTGGGTGCGATGAAGCTGAATCTTGATGAAGTTTCTTATCAAGTAAGGACGGCATCGACGAGGAATCGCATGAATCTGCGCCATCTCATGACCGCTCCGCATTTGCTCAGAGGAAGAACTTTCTAGACATGTCATGCGCCTTTTGACGTTGCAGGCTTTTCGTCTCCTTTGTCGCACCTACCCATCATGCGTACGACTCTGGAATTTCTTTGGAATTTTCATCAACCGCAGTCTACTCGTGAGACACAATAAGTGAGTGAGGGAGAGATATACTATACTCCTTGAGCCGACAACAAAGATAATAATCTCCCGGGAGGTCAGCGGTAGACTCTCGTTCTCCTCTGATTCCGTCTTCCACCCCGTAGATTCGTTCTGCGTTTGCTCAGAGCAAAGCCGGATTCGGTGGTTCTTTGCTTGTTGAACGGTCACAACGCCCTGACCTTGGGATCGTATAGGCACGCCTTGGCCGAATACTTCTTCTTGTTGGAACGAGAGGATTGTCCGTCGGATATAATTCCCCTCATAAATCTCTCCATTTGTATCGCGTATCTTCAATTGGCTTTACAGAAGTTTTGTGGTAAGCTTCCTTCGGGATTGACGTCTCAATGCACCGTATTTCGTGACTCCGACGTACCGAATATATGACACTCCCATCGAGAATTTAAATGTACTCTGTCCCCACTTCCAGTCAATCGATATAGCCTCTTATGCCACGCGGTGACGTTCTGCAAAAAGTACGCACAAGTGCGTGGGGACTGTCAGGAGACTTTCTACAATGTCGGTCGGTTCGCGCATCAGAGCGGGCTCCTCAATATAGCTCTGCACTTCTATAAGAAAGCGTTGGAGGTACTCATCGATGAGATTCCGGACTTTTCTCTCCATCTCCACGCGTATTGCTCGAGGGGAAAATCGGAGAGGATGCGAGATTGCTTTTCTTTTCCAGTCCGAACCCGTTCCTTCCGAGGATGGCATGCTCGACTTACGCATGGAAATCGCCTACAATATTTCTAGGATCTATCAACACGCCGGAAACGTTCACCTTGCGAGATACTACGTTCATAAATACATGGTGATATGAATGTTCAATAAATATCCCCCGGTTGACGACTTGAGATTCACCGCACAGGAGGGAGGCATCGATGGGGATTGAATAAGAAAAACACCGAGACCGTACAATTTCATCCATATCATCAGGACTATATTACTCAGGGAAGCATTTTACAAAATACACAGCGTTCAGTTCCGCCGATGAGCTCCGTTTCACAACTGTGATACACCGTAAGCGTCATAATCTCGCTCATCGTCGACCATCATCTGGGTATTGGGGATTTTCCATAATTTGAATGGCTCGACCGCCAGAGCGTTCCTTTGGGCCTCGTATACGTCTTCATTGAAAGGTTTAATCTCTTGATTCTGACTCTTTTCCTCCAGGAATTTGCGCTCGTACTTGAGAACAGCCTCGTCTTCGGTTTCCACATCGAGCGGCACGAAATCCTCTTTTATGTTCACGTCTAAATACAGATCGCCAACGGCTGCGCTCTCCGGGAGAAAACCGAGCGGTACAACCGACCAGTCCACCCTTGGCGTAGACGGCAATCGTTGTTTATTCAGTTTTTCCCGATTAGCTCTCTCAGCAACGACGTGCTCCACGGTGCAGACGGTCATTTTCTCGAAGCCATTCACAGCGCCGCAAGTTCTCGCGCGTTCTCCCGAGAAAGCCACGAATAGTTTCCGAACGAAGTCTGCCTTCTCTTCGCTCAACGGTGGATCCATTTTTTCGATACAGATCTCCAGGAGGCTCGGGGTCGACTGCGACACAACGGTTGCCGCCACCTGCAGGATTTTCTTCAGGTTCAGACGCGTGGCGAGGTCTTTACCTTTCCAGACCGCAGTTCCCGACGAGAGCCACGAGATCCATTGCACCACAGTCTGCATGGATTTATCGACCTCAACTTCAGAGCAAACGACAACGGGGAGAGATAAGGTCTTGAGCACGCTCGTGAAAAGTGTTGTCAGATTGTCTTCTAGGAGAGCGAAAATAGGCAAATAGGCGCTCTTGTAGTTCGAGGGGATCTCATGCGTCGAACGACTTTTTTCGACACTGGTCAACGCCTCCAGCTCTACGAGGTGCGAAATGAATGACTGGATTCTCGAGGCGCTTAGAGTTGCTCTCAAGTTCGACAGAGCGGCTTCAGCGAGGCTCCTTTCGGTCGCCGATTTAGCGTTCAGGGCCAGCTGAATATATTCCTGGAAAAGACCGTCGGTGACCGCCACGTTCTGCGTTTCGCTCGCGGCGGATTCTCGCTTCTCCTCGGCCCAGTAGTTCTGTTTCAACCAATCGAACAGAGTGTTGGCCGTGGTTCGATATAAAGGAAGGCTACCTGGAAAACGAAGATGCTGTCTCGGTCATTATTCAGCTCGCGGCTGGGGTTCAGACCCGATGGGTCGTGGAGGAAACCGATGAAGGAATGTATTCCGAGAAATACTGGAATTCAATTGGATTTCGCTTGACTTCGGACGTGGCTCACCTCGGAAGTGATGGATCGCATCGTTTCGCACATCAACGATCCACTGCGGTATCTGGAGACTCTCAGCCATGTTCTTGTTCTGGTTCTGAAGGTTCTCCCCGGTTTTACTCGCGCGTTCCAGTATAATCTGCACAAACTTGTTTATCGCCTCGCCGTAGATCGACAGAACTTCTGAAGTGTCAGCATTCTCGCGGTCTGCGACGAGAGCTCTCAGAAGATGGATCGTGGCCTCGACGAACGCTGGACACTTCTTCGCTTCGCACCTGAGTTGCCAGATCCTCAGTCGGGACAGCGCTAATCCCATGCTCTCTTGAGAGTTATCCAGAATCTTCTGCCGGATTTCCATCCACTCGTCTGAACTACTCCACGGAACCACAATTCGGAGTCGCTCATCACGCCGAGGTGCGAGCTCCGACACCTCCATTTTCGACTTTGACACTTTCCTCGCCTTAGCCGTGTACGCCATCCGGCTCTTGATTCATTGGCGAACCGGAGCTCTCCTCTAAGCGCGGAAAATTCTGTCCGCGTGCTCAGGAGATCGAATGAAAATACCGGCGCGGCAAAAGCTTCCGAGGGAGAGGGACAGTGGTTTGCAGAGTGAGGTGGAGAGAGCTCCTTGACCAACCCGCCAAAATTCAAATCCTGAAGGTGATTTCCGCACCGGTTCGCCAGATTGGAATTTGAGACTGCGCGGAGGGTTTATCCGTGTGAGCATAGACACAGGAGGGGAATGGCCGTCGGTCTCCTTTCCACGGAGCCCAATCATCTATCCAGACTCAGAGCACTCAGCATGCATCGCTCGGTCGGGGTCAAGAAGTCGAGCGGACTATTCCACAAGAGCACCGGTCTCCTGATGGCTGAAGTCGTAGAAGAGGAGCGTGCCGGGCCCCGGGCTCCGGAGAAGCCATTCATTCCCGTACTGCGAACAGAGCATGGTCCAAGCTGCACTCGGTGTGCTCATGATGATATCTGAAATCCCTTTCTGGTTAGAGCTTGATGGGGTCACACTCTTCAAACCTGAATGCTCGATGGATGTGGATCGGAAACCCTCGCCGGCATTTCGAAAATTCACGGAGTAGAGAAGAGAGGGCTCGACGTTGTTTGGACAGCGAATATGATTAGGTACTGATTACATTTCCGTCCGATAATTTCTGCTGCTCGCGGACGGATTTAGAAGCTGCATGGAATCAAGTGAAGCGCAGCTCGTCATCATGAGACACATGTTCGATGTCTTGCGCAGGTGCGATGCCAATGTGCGAAAAGAGGAGCAGCGATAGTCTCCCCAAGATGCTTGACGATGAGTCGTCTCTTCAAAGGATCGTCTTCGCACGCGTGAGAAGTCCAGTGTTGAAGCCGTGTGGAAATTGTTCCAGCTATCTCGAGGGCTGTGCCGCAGGTAGGTGAGGAGATGAATTGGATGCAATACCAAGGATCGAATCGACGGCCTACTCGGCGTGATCGAGAACGATGGGTTCGAGAGAAACTTCAAGAGGCCATTGAATTGAAACGAGAACAGATCCGTTTGGGGACTCGGCCTCGAATGACGCGGCCTCCACTGGATCCGAAGACCTCGTACTTCCTGAAGAGACTCATCCATCTGGACAAGACAACGGGTGAATATGTGTATCGTCGACTAGTCGGCCCTTTCATTGACATCATACCTCCGTCCTATCCGTTCCCATCTACGTAGTCAGTATATCCGAATGATTGAAATCCGATTTCTCGCGCCCAGGCGGTGTAATCTGGAAGCTGTACGAGGATCCCAGCCCCACTTCTGCGGTCGATGCGAATCACAAAAGCCAACCCGGGAGTCCAGACGAAGGACCAGAATTACGGCGGCAGTCTAAAGAGAGACGAATCAGCAGAAGCCCCCCGAGTTTAGAGGATTGTACACCTCAATACTCTCAAAGCACTCAGAGACTAGCGCGCGAAACCCAATGTACGGCCTCCGAAGAGGAACAGTGGAGAGCGAAAATCAGAGGCGACAGCGCACACCGATCAGGCTCTTCGGAGACAAATCTGTCCGCTACAGAACGAAGTTCTCGCCCCGCTTCCAGGACATCGATCCCCGACTGGTCTGATCAAGAAGGCTCGAACGGAAGCACGACGGAAAGTCAAGAGATGACTCGAATCGCTCCGAGAAAAACGTTTCCACCTGAAGAATATTCCTCGAGATTGCCGCCAGATAGCCCGGATCTGAGCGTGCCGGATCATGTGATCCGAGGCTCGATATTCGAGAATGGAACAGGAGGAAGCAAGAAGATTCGCGCTAGGAAAAATTCCACCGCGGCTCCCGATTCCATCCAACGGACACGCCGATCACCCGCCCCAAACACCGAGAAGGAACCGGTTGTGGATTCTATCGGACCCAAGGCTCCGTCTCCCCCGACTCCGAGTACACTCTTCTCGGACAGCTCCGAGGAAGAATTGAGATCTGCGCGCACTTCCTCCACCTCCCGTTACGTCCCGTCTACGTGTCATGCTTCACCGGAAACGATCCTTACTCAGCTCTCGAGCTCTCGGAGGCGAAAATCCCCGTCGCGTCCTCCGGTTCCGGTTCCTGCGAAGCAACCCAAGAAAGAAGAAGCAAACAAGGAGTCAGACACGTCACGGGAGTCATGTTCCACGGTTCCCTCAGTCGGAGACCGTATCGAAGCTCGTCATGGAATTCCTGTTCTACCTGCGAAGAAAATCGTTGCCGCGAGTCAATCCACGGTTGCCCCGCTCGTGGTCCCTGCTGTTCCCGTGTCCCCTTATTCGGGATCCTGCACGGCGACTCTGGGCTCTCCGGGGCCGAGAACTTGGTCTCCAATCGCGGAAAACCCGCCTGGACTTCCAGTCCAATCCGCTGCGTTCGGAACCACGGTTTCGTTCCACTCTCGATTCAGTGTGAAGAATGTGGTCGAAGTTCATCAATCTCTGTCAGTGGCCCAAGTGACGCTCAGGTCGATCGACGCAACTTGTGGTAGCTTCGCAGCGAAGCTCTCGATTTCGAATAGCGCTTATGCTCAAGAAATCGCAAAAAAACCGCCGCCGCTGCTTGCCCTTTCGGTTGAGAAGGGTTGTCAATCAGCGGCGGTGGAGCACGTCGGGAGCGTCCGGAGAGACCTAATTCGCGGCACGGAAGGAGCAGTTGTGTCCAAGCGATCGATCCAAGAAACTCGCGGCAGTCTCCATTATAGGAGTTCGATTCGAAGCGGAGAAGGGCAAATCGAGGTCCCGAATAAGCGTATATCGCTCGCTAATCAAGTCATGACAACGTCCAGCGTCGAAGTCAGACAGCGAGTCAACACCCACCGGGAGACTTCCGCCATGTATGTCGGGGAAAACTTTCACAAAGAAGATCGGAAGATTGTGACGAACACGTCAGTTCCGGACGCGATTCAAGCTACTCACGGTACCAGCCACTCGTTGAGGACTGTCCGTACATCTGATACGCGAGGAGAAGGAACCGTCACGAGTCCTGCTTCGATCGCCACCACGGTCTTGTTCGGAGCGCGTCTGAAACCGATCAAGAGCGGTGTAGACTCACCGGGACTGAGCTCGTGTATGACACCCTCATCAGGAAGAGCACTACCATCGACATCATCCTCGAAACGATCGATGAGGAAGCCGGCCCGAATTATACAGAAAAATCTACAAAGGAAGATTCAAGGGAAAACAATGAGCAAGAGACCATCGTCAAGTCTCAGTTACTTGCCTGGTTTATTCCTGTCCCCTTCCGTCCAGCCGGGTCTTCTGAGCAACGACGTCGGTGATCAGCGGTTCAGGAATCCGTCCGGAGGACTTTCTTAGTGTCCTGAGCAGCCTGATAAGCGTTCAACTTTCGTTATACTAACCAGAACGTACATTCAAAGAGTTTGGCTGATTAGCCATTTAGACCTCCCCTCGGATCCGGGCGCTCGCGGCTGTGCTCTGCCGGAGGATGCCGGGAATCAGTTTGATTCCTCGAATTCATGCGCGCCATAGGAGCCGTACCAGGAGACTGTTTTATTCCACTCTCGACCCCTGTCGAAATCTTGTCCAACAAACCCGGAAGTCCGGTTCATGGGTTGGGTTTTGAGAGTCTACCCACAGCGTTCCCGATATTGTTGTGCTTAGCGGATCAGTCAGATCGAGCGTTGTTCCGTATCCGACACCGCTATCCTTGTACGGTGTCAGTGGTTCGTCTTGTCCTTCCGAATGGGGTAAAATAAAGCGGTTCCGTGCTTGACTACGCTGCGGACATAGATCTAATATCGACCAGGGTGTCATTCATGGATCCAGTGGTTCTGGGTAGATCCGCACGGGGAGCTCTGGCGAGAGGCTCCCGTGTTGAAGTGAATATCTGCGGTGGGAGCGCGCTCCTTTGAATGGCTCGGGGACGAAGCAAGAATATTGTCAGATGAGCACCTTGACTATTTATCGATCTCGTTGAGGGACTCGATTGTACCGAGGAGAGAGTCATTGATGAGAATTGGGGAGAACGACTAGAGACGGAACGAGTCGAGAGCGCCTCCCGTTGTCCCTCAAGTGAAACATGCGGTCGTATCTCTTACGGTGGAAAATCAGGAGAAGGATCGTAAATGACAGGAGATATCATTAGAGATTAGGTTCTCGAGAGGCGTCTCTCGAAGGCGAGCGAGGGCGACCTTCGCCGCAGATAGGAAACCCTCTTAGCATCACGCCACAGCCACCACGGCCCGACTCTTGAGACCGGGTTTCTTCCTCGGACATTCGAAGAAAGAATCAATCAGCTCTCCTTTATGGAAAACCTGAGGGAATCCTGTTGAAATCCTGCAGAAAGCAACGCTGTCATCCCCGTCGGAACGCCATCCTCTCGAGGCGAATGCTTGAAGAGTTTCAGCATGCAATAATTGACTGGATCTCGTTACCAGAACACGGCGCAAGAACTTCCCGGATCCTGTTGCAATGAAAGCGGTGGAGATCAGAGAGATCTTTCTGATGGAAGACCTCTTTTAGCAAGATCTCAAGGGCGAGAAATATTTTTCCGCGTCTCTTCTACATACATTGCTATGAGCATCACGATTAGAATGTTCCAGGATAATGAGTCATTTCGGGAAGCGCGAGATATGACGGATGTCCTCGCACCTCGTGATGCATGCAGTGGTCGCGAAATGCTCGTGAAAGGGGAATGTGTAGAATTACGATTGAGATTCTCGGCAAAAACTACGATCCGAGCTCAAGAATTCCGATCAATTCGCGTAATGACATCATCACTATCGAGACGCTTCTGCTCGGCTCACGATTCCATGTAGATTGTGTTCGATGAAAAAGTTTCAAAAGAATCGGCATTGTTCCTCAGATTGTCGCTGCATATCCTCTATACGGCTCGGTGCAAGAAAAAAAACGTAGTCACGTTTCATATTTGGTTTCGATTACCACCAAGCGTGGCCGCTGCTCCCGCACCAAACATGAATCTAAGAACACCGGTCCGGTCGCAGCTCAGACGCTGTTGGAGAAATTTGGAATTATGCGAAGGCTTCGCTGTACGGTCCCGTCCGCCCGTCCGAAGAGCGGCCGACCACCTATCCGCAGGAATGGGGATTTCTTTTTCGATTTCAATTGAACGATGTATTCGGTACACAGTTCACAGGCATCGCTCCAATCCATCGGGCCGTGTTTGTCCGTCTGTGAATCTGTCGTCTGTCTCTGTGTGTCTGTTATTCGGTCTGTGCGTCCGCATCATTCGTCAGTTCGTTCGTCTTTCCCCTCTCTGGTTGCTTGAGGGGACCCCGTAATTACAGGTTTGGTGTCGGGGGATTTGGTCGGCGGCCAAAGAGACTCGGGAGTGTGTCGTCGCAGCTAGCATATCAGGACATACCAAAACTGTAGACAGTTCCTCGACAGTCAGGCATCAGTCGGTCGAGCGTCCGTCAATGTCCTCATACATGAATGCCTGTTCCAGCTCGGTTCCACGTACATCCGCGTAATTCATGTGATTGCCTGTCTTCTCGCGGGAGCTAAGCCTTTCAGCGCGATCACGGACGCGGGAAAGGATTCCGGGGGAACCCGGGCTTTGTTACAACCTGATATGTGTTCCATTTCGCTCGTAATAATTTTGGTCGAATCTCGGCCAATTGTGCAGAGTCTCGATTTTTTCGATGAGCTCCTCGACCGGAAATTCGGGCTCGTTTGATGAGAAGGGTCTCGATACATCCCGGTCAGAAGCCGTAGTGCGAAAGCATACGAAACATGGGGGGAGATCTTATCGCCAATCATTATCACTTCGAGATCATTGTGAAGGTTCTGACGATTCCCGCCGCCATACGGCAAACATGACAGGGAAGGTGTTAGATGAGAACGGTAAACACTTCCGAGAAGGTTTCGTACGTTGATTCACAAACTACGATATTTCCGAGGAAAAACCTTGAATGGCCGTCGGCAGGGTGTCTGAGACCTCACCTCTCGAAAGCCGCGACTGAAACACCCCCATCCGAATCGATTCTCAGCAACGAAATCATCGTCCGGACGACATTTCGAGTGATACATTGGAAATACACCACTGAGCTCCAGAGACTGAGGACTCTCTCTTCCGCACGACGCCATAATCTCGCTAGCGAGACGCCGATGGCGTTCTCCCAAAAGTTGGACCGATTCGCGACCAGTTCGTTTGGAAGATACAACAGCAGATGTCGTCTTGGCAGTCGGCGAAGCCGAAATGCATTTCGACGACGAGCAGGTGATACGGACAGAAGCTGATCTGACAGAGATAGCTCACCGCGAACGTCCGTACACTCATTGAAAAGCCATTCCCGACCATCAACTTAACGCTAATAATCTTTCGAAACGCGCTCCCCTCACGCGAACACCCGAGAATGCGGACCATCGAGTCTGGCGGAGACTTTCAGTGACAAAGATCATGTCCAGAAGAAATTCACCCATTCCGGACAAGGAAGCACGCGGTCCCCGGTCAGTCTCATGAGATATCATCAGCCAAGAATTTTTCGGATCCGGAGGGACGACTCGAAAAACACAGTCCATTCATAGGAGCGACAATAAGGAGATCTGTTCGACGGGTCGCGGATATAACAAAAAAAGCCTACATTCCGTGCGGGTACGCATGAAACTCCAGGGTTGAATACGCTGCTTGCGGCATCTATTGAGTCACGAAGTGCAAATGATTTCATCAACGATCGAACTCGAACCTCCCGTGACATCGTGTCGGTCGGCGTTGTTCAGTGACATTCTAAGAAATATCACTCGTTCATTGAGTTCCGTGATGGGTAGATGAGCCAGCCCCTCAACCCTTCGGGCTGACGAGGTCTTTGCATGACCTCCATCCGCTCGCTGCTGTTGTCGTTGCCGCCGCTGTCACCGTCGCCGCTGCTTTTAGATCTCCAGCATGCTTACGGCGTCGGATGGCTCCAGACGCCGCGGCTCGACTTGAAAATTGCAGCCTTCGGATCTGTGGGGCTGAGGACAGATTGGGGTGACGATAGCAGACTGTCTCTGAGATACGCCGCCGCTGAGCTCCGTCGTCAACTTTTCGGGACTGGCGCTCGTTTGCATAAACATACTCGGAGCGGCTGGTAGAATTAGCCGCACAGGGAATATTCTATTCAAGTTGGTCAGCGTCTCGTGGGATCGACTTCCAGGTGAGATGGTCGAGTCGCTTACTCGTCTATACCTCCGCGAGCGGACCGTGGGTTTTCCCAATCGAGCCGATTCCTGTCAGGAATATTTTCTCCACTGGGCTCTATACCCTCCGATAGGAGCAAAGTAGAAGAAGGAAGAGCCGAAGATCTCGATCGAAGCGCTGCGAATATCGCTCTGGTGAGGTGATTGAATCCAGTCCGCATCATCTACGAGATCCCTCGCTAGGACGACCTCTCAAGAATGAAGAGACAAAATGCAGGCAGAGCCCCACTTGGCCGAGCAGTTTCGACAAGTAGAAGAAGCGCAACTCATGTGCATATCTTGAAACTATCCGATTGAAAGAAGGAAAATTCCACGAGATCGTCAATCGGAATAAATCCTCTCGCTGCTGAAATTCCGCGCTCGCTCTGCAACGATCGTCTCCAGAGCTCTTCGTCTTTCGATTGATCTCCGAGCTCACATCAGAATCATCAGAACTACTTTTCCTTGTGACCATTGCTTCAGCTGACCTGCGATTTCCCTCTCGTGACTTATTATGAGATGGAGATGAATCGATGGCCAACGGTAGCTCGTCTGATGACGGAATAATCGTTTGTCACTCCGTCTTCTCCTCGGGAGGGGCTGTACCGTTATCCGGGGAAACCGCAATCACCGAATATCAATCGAGCGATTACCTCGGACAGCCGGTAGCGAATCTTTTCGGTGACCGATAGATCAAACACTCATGCGATTTATTTATACATGTCCAGCCGTTCATCGAGTCATCAGTCACCACTCCACACGTAGATTCCATTGGTCTCACTCAGTAGAGCGTGCGAGTCCTCAGCCACCAGACGAGTCAGCGGACGAGTGGTCGAGCGAGCGAGCAAACAAACAAATAGACATGCGATTAGGCGAATGCGACGAATCAGCACATCAGAACGTGAGGACTTTCATTATTAGTCAATCAGAAGTTCTTCGTTCGAAAAGCACTGCCCGGCTGAGTGAGTCCGCGCGTCTGACTGACAGTCCGAGTTTGTCCATCGACATTCCTGAAAGGAGAAGAGACCAAACGACGAAAACTCTGATAGAACGCTAGATAAGTTGATACGTCGACAGAGTCGTTTAAGTGAGTCGTAATGTCGCCAAAGACATCGACTTCGACGACGACGCCAACAACAAAAACAAAAATGACCGTTTGCTCGACTCATTACAAC